AAATTGATCCCTCTTTGTTTATATATATATATATATATATATATATATTTATTTATTTATTTATGTGGTATGATATGATTTTTGGTAAGCAGTCCCTTTCACTTCGCAGTGGATAAACTATAAAACAAAATAGTGCTATTTCCATCTCTCGATTTCTCGCGAGCCGTTCCTTCATCGTTTTCTTTAAAAATCATATTTTAAATATTATTATTATTATTATTATCCGAAGGAATTTTAGATTTTGTATATGAAAAACTTTTATACAGTTAAAATACCTATTACGCTATATTATATATACATATCTTAAACAGATGCAGTTCTGATGCTGATATTTTGATCTCCAGATCGGAGGAGAAGACCAGCTTCCCATAACCTCTTTTTTTTTTTTGAAGGTCAATTCTTTTTTCTGTTCTTTTCCTCGTTCACGATTCACCTTTGATGTTAATAATCTTCGATCATGAGTTTCCTTTGTTTATGTGATCATTTCTGTTAATCGATGCATAGGTGCGGATAGAAACTGATTCGTTTTTTAACCGCGTTTAGGGTTTGGCCTTTTTTATAATTATTGTTTTTGTTTCTGAATTAGAGTTATTTTTCGCAATTGAATCTTGTTGTTGTTGCATGATTGCTCTGATTTGGGAGTTTAATTTTTGGATGGAATTTCAATTAGGATTTATTTTAATCGGGATTTTTCTTATTTGTGCCATTTTGTCCTTTTTTTGTAAGTGTTTGCAGTTTAAATTTAGAAATGCAAAATTCGCATGTATACGAATTTGATGGGACTTGATGCATGACCGTGCAAAGGTTATGTTAAAGCTCACCTTTATGAAATAGAAAAAAACTCACCTTTATAGCAGGCAAAGCTTTCCAAATTTAGCGACCTTGGAAAGGTTTTGTCATTCTTGTTTTTCCGGTACCGCATGCTTGAATGAAGATGCTAGTTTCTATATCTATGTAACATGATTATAGCATAATCGGATTGAAAATAGTGCAAAAATTACTTCAAAATGTAGTATAACATATGTTACTCATGAATAAACTATAGCGGGATTGACTCATACACTATCAATCTTTTATTAGTTTATCTCCTTGCTGATGTAAGTGTTTCATATATGTTGAAAATTGGTATAAGACTTTTTCTTATATGATGGATTTGTGATACACTGGGGCATGTTATTTTTGGTATTTGTTTCCATTTCCTTTTACTAGGTGTCCAATGTGGTAGATTTTATTTTCTCTTTAATTGTGACTTGGGATGTGGTTTCTTGTCTATGTTAGTGTCAGATTATCATGTTCAATATCCTTAAATAAGGGCATTAGATCTTTTAATTATCATTATTGTTAATGTCATTTTAATTTCTTAAACACTAAACTGTTTAAATTGTAACTTGCATGAGTTGTAGTGGTAGTACATGCCATGTTACTGTTCTCTATGATTTTAAATGCGCATCATCTGTCAAATTAATCATCACTTCATCAGTGTACTGTATTTAACAAAAAGTTTACTCTTTAAATTCTAAGAGTAGAGAATCGTCCAATTCAATGTTGTGTGATATTTATTGGTATGGTTTTTATTGTTGAGTTACTATTAGTTTATTATTGGTGTTTGAATTTATATTGGTTTAGGTGTAGTTTTGTCTGGTGGAATATGTCCCATTACCAAGAAGATGATGCTGAATACATGGCAGATGAGTATGACATGGAAGACATGGATGATGACATGGATGAAGAGTTTCGTGGCAGAGACATGTCTGGCTCGGACTCTGATGTTGATGAATATGACTATGCGGTTTGTTTTATGTTTTACAAGATTCACATAGACATTTTTAAAACAACTAAGTTCACACATCTTTAGTTTAGGCAAATTATCAACATGGCTTTGCCATTTTTGAATCTTTTGAAGTTTTTGTTATAGTATTCATGGATTTCAAGCCAGCCTAATGTTATTTGAATTTATTGCAGAATAATAAAATATCTGATACTTCTGCTGCTCAAGCTAGAAGAGGAAAAGACATACAAGGAATTCCTTGGGATCGGCTTAGCATCACTAGGGAAAAATACAGGCAAACTAGGCTAGAACAGTACAAGAACTATGAGAATATCACTCACTCTGGAGAAGCATCTGGGAAGGTAGAAGTCCTTATAAGTTGCCTGCATTCCTTTTATAACAATTCTTGGATCTACTGTTTCAGTAGCAATTGAACTAAGTTTTAAATTCAATTTGCATATAGGATTGCAAAATTACCAAGAAGGGTGCCTCATACTATGACTTCAGACTAAATTCAAGATCTGTGAAATCAACAATACTTCATTTTCAGGTTAGCTGAATGGAAGTTTTCATTAAACTACTATCAGCTATTTTTGCCCCATTCGTACTTTGTGACGTCATTGAAGGATTTTTCTAAAGATTTATTTTTTTATTTTTAAAATTTCTTTCTCATATCTTGTAATGTTACTGGCCAGTCCTTTCCTTCTGGTCTGCTTGACTGTGCTGTGATCATTATTGTTGACCCAAAAACATTTCCATTTTTGGTGATGTAGTTGAGGAACTTGGTCTGGGCTACATCAAAACATGATGTTTACCTTATGTCACATTTTTCTGTCCTACATTGGTCTTCATTGACACACAGGAAGCGTGAAATTCTTAATGTTTCTGGGCATGTGGCACCAGCTGAGGTCTGTGTTCTGTCAGTGATTTGGCTTTTTCTCTGAATTGTTGATTTTCTCCTTTTCTTTTCTTTCTCTCTATCTCATTTACTCTTGAGATTGATCAACATGTTTTCCCCTTTTAGAAACATCCTGGAAGTCTGATGGAAGGTTTTACACAAACTCAAGTCAGTACTCTTGCAGTAAAAGATAAGCTGCTAGTTGCTGGAGGATTCCAGGGTGAACTAATATGCAAGGTAAGTAGTTTAGCTTTTTCTCCTCCCCCCCCCCCCCCCCAAATCCTTTATTGACAAAAAAGAGGTCAGAAAAATGAACAAGTCTTTTGTGCAGCAGTTGCAAAGCTGCTTTTCCATGCAATTTACCTCTTTCTCAATTTTTGCTAGTCACTTAAAGTCGAATGTTTAGATCTTAACTAATCTAGTTCAATCCATTGTCGGACAAATCTGTCATGTTATGAGATGGATCCGGCGAAATGATTCTATTAAGCTCTTTAGAATTTATGATATTTGTTTTCTTGCTCATTCTGTTCCAAAAGTATCAACTTCTTCATCTTGTTTTGAACTATTTATTATGTAAAACTTTGAGAATGGCGAAAAAGCTAAAAATATATACTCAAAAGAGAGCTAATTGTTTTTTTTTTTGGGCTGAGCTCTTGGTTACTGTTGTCCTGTTGTCAGTTTTCTTAATAATTAATTAGTTGATTTTGATCTGGAATGTAGCATTTAGATCGACCTGGAATAAGCTTTTGCTCCAGGACAACTTATGATGACAATGCCATTACAAATGCTGTTGAGATTTATGTCACTCCAAGGTATTTCTTGTTCCCTGATCTGCTTGTGGCATCAGTCACATTCAACCTGAACCTAATTTTTCTCTGTTTTTGAATTACCAGTGGTGCAGTTCACTTTACAGCCTCAAATAATGACTGTGGAGTCAGAGATTTTGATATGGAGAAATATCAGCTTTCTAAGCATTTTCATTTTCTTTGGCCCGTCAATGTAAATTCCTTATATCAGGATACTGTTTGTTTTAGATTGATAAACATACACTTAACATTATTCCATGCAAAATTTTTTATTTGCAATATGTTAATTATTGGTTCTATTAATACTGTAAAGACACATGGTGAGGAGAAATACTGTAACCTCTGCTTATGCGTTGCTTTTGCAGCATACTTCTCTGAGCCCTGATGGGAAACTTCTAATAATAGTTGGAGATAACCCTAATGTTATGTTGGTGGACTCGGACACAGGGAAGGTAGTTGTCTGCTTGCTTTTGCACTATTGTTTACATTTTCGGAGATTGCAAATGCTAGCATATGCCATCGGCTGATTTGAAATTGCATTGCAGACTGTTACGCCCTTGCCTGGACACTTGGATTTCTCATTTGCATCAGCATGGCATCCTGACGGTGTCACTTTTGCCACTGGGAACCAAGACAAAACTTGCCGAATTTGGGATTTTCGGAACTTGTCCAGGTCGGTTGCTGTTCTCAAGGGAAATCTTGGAGCAATACGGTCCATACGCTACACATCAGATGGTAAGTACATGGCAATGGCTGAGCCTGCTGACTTTGTGCATGTGTATGATGTGAAAAGTGGGTATGAGAATGAGCAAGAAATTGATTTCTTTGGTGAGATATCAGGCCTATCCTTTAGTCCCGACACCGAGTCTCTCTTTATTGGTGTATGGGATCGTACATATGGTAGCCTTCTTGAGTATGGCCGTCGGAGGAACTACTCATACCTTGATTCGTTAATGTGAGTTGATTGTGCAGTATGGAAAATAAGCATGTTGGTTGTGGTTGTTGATGGTATTCGAGGAACCAAGCGGTAGAAGAGGTTGTAGATGTAAATGTAAAATGTATTCTGTAACATTAGGTTATTGCTGTTCAATTAGATTTTAGTTTTCTGCCACTTGTGGGGGTCAATCATCATAAGATGTTAATCGGAGGGGATGTATAGAAGGCCAGAAAGAGCTGTTCATGTGAACAAGAAGAATGAAAAAGAACTATGGTTTCCTTGGGAGCTAGACAATTTTATGAGCGGTTCCCTTACTTGTGTCACTTCTTTCTTCCTTCTTGGAGCTATTTTTGTTCTTTTTTTTTTTTTTTTATGGGTTAATATCTTCAAGTATGAAATATTTAATGTATATTTTAAGCTTTAAAATTTTTTAATATGATATTTGAATTATAAATTTGTTAATTAATATGATTTTTATCATATATCATCATTTAGAATTAATCATATTAATGTAAAGTAAAATATTAATTAAATGATATATAATTTAATATCATATTAAATATTTTATTATAATTTATGGTTATTTACGACATTAATTTTTTTTATTTTTTATTTTCATAAATCGGGATTCAAATGACAATGATCCTGTCTAGCAGGATAATTTGAGTTTGAATTTTCATGGTCGTGGGCAAAAATGAATTTAGGTTCGGATTGTTTCGAGGGATAAATGAGTGTTTTTGTTTTTATTTTTAATAAAAGTGAAATGTAAAAAGCTTAAAGAAAAATCTGAACTGAAAGACAGTTCAACAAATGTTCTGCTGTTGTCATTTATATCCAGAAACCTCTAATCTAAAAAAAACCAATGAAACAAAGCCAAGTCGACATCCAAAATCTTTCTCCTACTATTACCATCCTCAGAATCCCATTCTCATTCCAACCACAACTTGTTTACCATGTACTCTTTTCTACATCCCATCCCTAAATCATCTCCAACAAAATCTACTTTGTTTTTTCACTATCCAGAACCCCAAAACTTCTCTTAATCCACGTTCTGCAGGCATCATGGCAGCCTCCTCAACTTTGTTCACCCCCATGTTCTCCACCATCCAAAAGAGACATGCCACCCACCATCTCACCCCCTCCACCATCTCATTCCAAGGCCTAAGACCCCTCACCAAGGCCAAATCCTCATCCAAGATCACCCCCATCCCAAGAAACTCATCTGCTAGGCTTGCTGTCAAGGCTGAGCTCAGCGCCCCAATTGTGATTAGTCTCAGCACTGGTCTTTCCCTCTTCTTGGGTAGGTTTGTGTTCTTCAATTTCCAAAGAGAGAACGTTGCCAAGCAAGTGCCTGAGCAAAATGGGTTGACCCACTTTGAGGCTGGGGACACACGAGCCAAGGAGTATGTCAGCCTTCTCAAATCCAACGATCCTGTGGGATTCAACATCGTGGATGTTCTTGCTTGGGGGTCCATTGGCCATATTGTTGCTTACTACATCTTGGCCACCTCCAGCAATGGCTATGATCCCAAGTTCTTTGGCTGAACATCTTCTTCCTATGCTCTATTTTATAACCATTTTATAGTTTTCTGTGTTAGTTGGGGTTGGGGAGGTTGGATCTCTTGTTGATTTATTGCTTTTCTCCTGCTTTCTGGGTTTACTTGGATGCATATGATAATTACTTGGTTGGCAAAATTGGCCGTGAGATTGTATCGTTTTGTCTTGAGATTGGTTTGAACTTCTCCCTCTTCATTCCTATTTCTTTCCGTTTTGTAGCATTATTCTTTCCATGATGATTTCAGCCATCAAATCAACAGCCACCAGTAGTAGTAGCCAGCAGCCTAGCAATTATACTATTTTTATTTTTCTTTAAAGGAAACTGCAGCCTTTTTTGGATTTGAACTCCCAATATATTAATTTTTAAAATAATTATATGAAAGTACGAGAAAATTTTATATGAAGTATTTTAGATGGATATTATAAAAATTTTTATTAAAAATGATTCGATAAAAATTAAAATTGAAACTCAAAATCGATGAATTGATAGATTTTTATGAAAAAATAAAAAATATATAAAAAATATAATTAAATATATTGTTTATAATTTAAATCACATGAGTATTTATTCAACGATCAAATTTTATCAAAATTTTTATTAAAATTACTTACTAAAAAATATATTAAAATTAAATTTTTTCAAAATTTTTAATATATTTATTTTGATTTTTGGTCAATGTAAGGTATTTTATATGTATAGTATTTATGAATAAGATGAAATATAACAAAATTTTTATAAAGTGCTATTTACTTGTTGTGTTATGCTCTATACGAAATTTCATAATGTGTTTTGTACGTAAAAAAAAAATCTCAGGATCTATCCATTAATTTCGTTATGAAAACATATTTAAAATTCAAATTAAAACTTTATTTTTTAAGGTGTTTCTATGGACTAAAATATTATAATTATAAAAAAACTTGCATTAATACATAAATATAATTGTATTACACAAAATTTGTAAGGTTAGAAACGTAAGTAATTTGTGATCGCATACTTATTACAAGTTAATTACCCTAAACATTAAATTAAATTTTATTCATTTTTTTTCCAACAATAGCATAAAAATAATAAAAAGTAAACACATTGTAATCCATTTCTAGTTTTCATTCTTTCTATTGCAATTGTTGTTATTTGCATTCTTTGAAAAGACTTGATTTTAGTATTTCATTCTTCGTAGTTTTTTTAATAAACTTAAAATGATTATCTTGCTATACTTATCTATTGAAGAATCACACCATTAAAAATTCCACATGCATTAAGTTGCTACAAATGTAAACAAAAATGATCACCAAATTAAAAGAATAAAAACACACTGAATTAAAAAAATAAAAATTATAAACACACTAATTTGCTATCCGTTGTTCCTACTTGCTACCTATATTCAAAATCATTTTGTAATTTGTTGTGTTCTTAAATATCTACAAAATTTAAAACCAATAATTATTTTCATATATTCAAAACTCATATTCAAAATCCATATATCATTTGTTGTGCTTTGAAAATCATACTTTATCTATAAAATCTATAATTCAATTAAAAAACAAAAAAAATATTGTGCTTCTATCCCATAGTTGTTACAATTAAAAAACTTATAACTTGGGTTAGTATTAGTCTATATGTCTTAATTCGAGCTTATTGACCGTAATAATAAACAGATAATGCATCTATATCTTTTATATAGCTACCTCTAACTCTTCAATTTTAATTCTTAGCTTCTTCTTTCAAGCCTTAGTTCTTTTCAACCTTCATCTCCTCTCTTTCAAACTCTTTTTTTTTTTCTTAAAGACTTAAAAAATGAGTTTCATCTTTTGATCGCTTTTAAGATCCTTTATTGATTTTTTTATCTTTAAAACCCCGAATGATTCTTTTAAAATTTTTAGAGAATATTTAAGGTTTCTTTTGTTTTTAATTTTTTTAAGTATGCATGTATTTTGATAACTTTAAAATTTTTACATAATTAAATTATTAAAGGTTATGTATCACATCGCATTAGATTTTTTATTTATTTAGATAATTCAACATATAAAAAAATTATATTGATACACGTTCAGATAATTAATAATTTAATTAAAATTTTTTAAAATTTAAAAATTAAAATAAATCAAAATAAAATTTGACCTAAAATTTAAAAATAACGTGTGCTATTTATTCATATTTTTAAAATCGAAGTGTCCTATTAAATATTTAATTATAATTTATGAACCATGTATAATATTAAACCAATAAAAAATACCATCCATTGGCTTATACCTTGGGCAGGCAGGCAAGTTGCATAAAAAATATAAAACATAAACCAAATTAATTTAAATTTAAAGGGGTGGCCAGTACAATGTCATCTTACTTTATCATGTATAACCGAATCTGCTAATTCACAGTACCACAGTTTCCATCAAGAATTTTTTCAGATCTTACCTTATAATTATTATATTTTCAAATTTCAATAACTACAAATTATTATTCAACTAGGGTTGGGTTTTCTTCAACAGCTCTTTTTAGGTTTTCATTTGAACCAAACACTAATCCTTATATTCTGTACTTTGCCCAAACCTTGGTTTGTTATTAATATTAATTAGAAAACCTTAATCAAACCAAAAACCATCATCCCAACTGTTTTAATTTTGTTGTTGTTGTGTTGAGTTGAGTCCAAAAATGTCTCAACAGCAGCAGCAGCAGAGTGAGACTACAAATGGGCAGTCCAACAACAACAACATGCCTCGCTATCCATCACCAACTGCCAAGTACGAGGATGTTGCTCAAAGCTCTCAACTTTTCTGGGAAAAGCTCAAGGATTTTCACAAATCTCTCGGCCAAAAATTCAAGTAACTTTCTTTCCTTACAATTCCTAACAATTTCCAAATGTGTTTTTCTGTCTTTAAAATGGTGCATGTGTCTGGTATCTGGGTCGTTTTTTTTATTCCTTCTTTCTAATGCTCCTGCTTGTGCAAGACTAGGTTTGGTTTTGTCTGATCCTTATCCTATATGCTTGAAGTGGCCTAATTTCCTGCTTATTCCTTTTTTACCGCATTATGTATTGAAATTGTTGATTTCCTGAACCCTTAACTCCGTCCGTTTATGTAGTTACTCTTGATAGGTGACATTAACTAGGTCCGAGATTGAAATCTCAGCACCTGTAATCTCTTTCTTATCCCAAGTCACGGCCTCCTTTGTACAAAAAAAATTGTTGATTTCCTCTACTTTAGCGGCGCCCTTTTTCTCAAGATTGTTATAGGATGAAACAGAAACATAAATTTTTCCAACTTCTTGTTATTATTTGCAATGGTTATTGCATCACTGTCTGAAAACTAGCCCTTTAACAGTTTAATTACAAGTTTCATTTTTGCAGTTTTTCCCCTTTCCCCTTTCTGCTTTTTATCAGCATGTTATTTGTTAGCATTCATTTTCTTAGATTCCATGCAGGGAGACTATCTTCTATATGTAACGTTTTCGATGAATATAGCACTGACCAGTTGTTTTGTTGTGTAGCTGCTAATTGCAACATCTAAAGCATGACGATTTCCTTATTGAAAAAAGAAATAACAGAACAAATAAAAACTTGCTCTTTGAGGTGGGGACAGAAAATCCTGCTTGTTTATTCTAAATGTGAATGATCTCAGTTACTCTAGATTGGATTCAGGTGTATTGAATTCTACTATAACTAGATCCTACACTTAGTTATGGCATCAATTATCTGCCTACAGCAGATGCTGTACTTGATTGTCACTTGTTGCTTGATATATTTTTTATCTTCTTCGACGGGGGGTTTATAACCTTTACTAACCTGCAAACCTCATATTCTGTTCCTTTTTTTTTTGTTTACCCTTATTTTTTAAATCAAATCTTTGTATAACTTGATGTACTTGAATGCATGAACAAAAATGCGCATATAGTGAACACACCTGCGAAGGGGAGAGGCTGAGGTTCCTTTTTCATTTTCATTAAGGCTTTTAAACCATGTGCCTCTTTACTTGTTACCCATCTAAATTTGTATTAAAATGGTGGCCTATTGGATAAAGAGAAAATGGGGGTGGGGAAATAACAAAACAGTGAACAATAAAAGGAAAAGCACAGCTTGGGATATATGGTCTTCTGATGTTTTGGTTGGATAGGGTTCCGGTTGTTGGAGGAAAGGCTCTAGATCTGCATCAACTCTTTGTGGAGGTCACATCACGTGGAGGTCTTGAAAAGGTATTATACTTGCAATGAGGATACTGCCTGTTAACCCACTCCAAATTTAGTTGGTTGAACATTTTAGTCTGTTAACCCACTCCAAAGGGTTGTTTATTTTCCTTTGCAATTTAAATTTCCTTCAAATGGTTTACAGGTAATAAAAGATCGCAGATGGAAGGAAGTGATTGTGGTCTTCAGATTTCCAACAACCATTACAAGTGCTTCATTTGTTTTAAGGAAATATTACTTATCATTGCTTTATCACTTTGAGCAAGTTTATTACTTCCGCAAACAAGTCTCTTCCATATCAACCCCTGGTATTTGAAAACTAAATTCAAATTTTTTTGCCCCTTATATAAGTGCTTTTTGTTTCAAGAAATTCATAGCTTGGATATATATATATATATATATATATATATATATATTACTCTATTCTTTCAGGCACTGCTGGTGGGAGCCTTGTTAATGGATCTGCAAACACAACAGGAGATGCCTCTACAAACCAATTAACAGCTCTGGGTATGTTTAACTACCTATTGATATGAGGGCTTCAATTACTGCAGTGGCTATGTTAACTTCTAGTTGTATTTCACCATTATATCTGGTTTACATACACTTGTTTCCCTTCATATGCAGGAGCTTTTCATTCCAATATTCACTGGAATGATATCGGTATCTCTAACCAGAAATGCGTTACTTGATATCACTAGGCTAACTGGACTTGCATAGCAATGTCTTTAGCAATTTCATCTTATTTTAATAGCCTAATATATCTGATCATAGTTGCAATCTTTTGTGATGAAAAAATTAGGGATATATTTAAATTATGAAAATGCATGCATTGTGGTTGCTTTTCCATGAATCTAAATCTCCAATAAGTGATGTTCCCTCATACCAAGATAGCCGTTCAAGCCTTGTTGGTTAAGTTTTTTCTGAATTAGTTGTGAAACCTGCATTTTGAATTTTCTTAGGAACAAAACAGCAAAATTATTGATTTAACAAAAATCTTCAATGACTGTTGCTGAGTGCTTGAGCTTCTAGAATATTCGTTTAGCAATGAAATTCTCGGTTTGCTGGCAATAAAAACAAGCTGAGTTATAGTCTTGCAAGCCATTTTAAAATTATATCAGTTTGCTTTGAAGGGATTTAGGGGGTAGTTTTAGTTATTATTTATACTAAAATTTGCCCTATCTCAGATGTCTGTTTCATATACCTATTTGCAAGTGTGAATGTAGCTGTCTTGGTAAACAAGGGCTCTTACCATTCTTATACAAGCAGGAACTCCGGAGTTGAAGATTGGCAGTTCTGTGATGGGGACCATTGATGGAAAATTTGATAATGGCTATCTGGTTACAGTTAGGTTGGGCTCTGATCAATTTAAAGGTGTCCTTTATCATATCCCCCAAATGCTTCAATTGTCTCAGAGTTCAAATACTTCAGATGTACCTCCTCACCGGCGCCGGAAGAGGTCCCGATTAGCTTTAAGGGACCCCTCCAGGCCAAAGTCAAACAGGAGTGGTTATAATTTTTTCTTTGCCGAACATTATGCTCAGCTTAAACCTATGTACTACGGGCAAGAGAAAACCATCAGCAAGAAGATTGGGCACCTATGGAGCAATCTGACAGAGGCTGAGAAACAGGTATGGAAATTGACTGTTATATCTTTTATCTCCAATCATCTAGAATTTATATATATGTTTTTATTTTGTCTCTGCCGTTTAATCCTGCATTATCTCATTTGACAATTGGAGCTCTCATAAAATGACTTTTCTTTACTGTGAGTCAGGTTTATCAGGAGAAAGGGATGAAAGACAAGGAGAGATACAGAAGTGAAATGTTGGAATACAGATCTTCCTATGATTCAACACCTCAATAGCCTCCAATGAGTTGGTTATTAGGAACTAATGGCATGGTGTCAACCCTCTTCAATGTTTGTTGTTGTCTTTGCTCAACTTTTCCCTTTTCTTCAGTTTGCTTTATGAAGATTATGCGAACCCTGCCCTTGTGCAGAAACTTTTGGTGATCGGATGGCTGAGCTTTGTAACATTGTGTTATATATATTAATCAATCAGAATACTAGAAACCTGGAACATATAAGATCATAGTGAAGTTAGAAAATTGTAGTCTGAGAAAATCTGCAATTACCGGCACATCCTTTTCTTGGATGGCAGATGGAGAACTTGGATTGGGTACAAAGATGCCGAGAGGCCTCAGTTTGAGAATAGGAAAAATAATTTGAAGCACTAATATTTGACTTGTTAGATGTCACATGATATCTTAATGATGAATATATGAATCAATTTAATTAAGTTTCGAGTTGAGTTATGGGCATTTTTAGACATATGTTGGTAAGAAAAGAGGTTTGGGTGTTTCAGCAATAATCCAACTGATTTGAATAGTACTAATATATCCAACTGATGACTGCGGGTAGCACATTTCAATTGATTCGGAAGAAATTTAATTAGTTTTATTACTTAAGAAACGCCTTTTTCATTTCATTTGACATGAAAAGAGTATCTAAGAAGAACATGACTTCGACTACTTTGGAATCAATGGATTATTTCCCATCCGAACAATGTTTGTGTTATGGGAAAATATGTGATAGCCAAATGATAGAAGGCCGTAATGGTAAAAGCAAATCGTACTCAAGCAGAATATAATTATTGTACACGCTAGTGGCCTGATAGATAGACTTCTCAAAGCCAAGATACGCCAACAAATTAAGTGATAAAATATATAGTTTAGACCTAGCATTATACTCCACAGAAAAACAACCTTCTAGGTAAGTACTAATATAGAGAGGAGCTCAAATCAAGACTGAAATGGTTTCCACTTTTAAGCAAGTTGTGGTATTAACACAAGCGGGGAAAAGGAAAAGAAAAGGCTCTAATTATGATAACAATGAAATTTTACATTGGATGACTGCCTATAAACATTAGAATACACAAAAAAAAAAAGGGTCTATTTTCTTTAAATCAGGTGGGAACAACCACCCCTGAATCGGTTGACAACTGCAACACAACGAACAGGAACACTAAAACCAGTAATACCAGCTGTGTAAAAAAACATAACGTAACCTTACATACTCTCCTCTGCATCTTCAAAACCTCTTCTGTACCTAAGACATCTCCACAATACTTTTCCAACTCATCTGCTTGTTTCTTTGGCATTGCAGCCTCGCTATCTGCCTCTCCGAGCTTATTCAACATCTGGGCTTGCTCCCCAGCCAATGAAGTTTGTTCTTTAAGTAGTGGGCTTTGATTGCCCGCAGAATCTCTTAACTTCTGTATTGCCCTGGTTAGAGCTAGAAACTCAATTTCAGCCTTCATTTTCTGTTGAAAGAGGCACTCAAAGTCGAATTCCATTTCTCTATATTTATCTTGCTGCAACTCTGCAGTGCTTCCTGATTCTTCCTTCTGTGACCGGCTACTGTTTACACTAGTTTCTAGTTCAGAAATCCGTGATTCCTTCGCTTGCAGTACAGCCCTTGCTTCCTCCAGTTTGCTCTCCAAATATTTTACTTTGTGTGTTAAGGTGAATACCTGAGTTTCCAAGGAACCTGAAGTACTTTTTCTTATCCTTTCAGAAGATAATTGGTCAGATGTGCTAGTTTCAAGGATTTCCTGATCAGCATAAGTAGAATCCTCATGAACACTGTTAATGTTAACTGAATCATCATGTAGAGATGTAGGTTCCTTTCCGATCTCCCCTAATTTCTTGACTTCTGCAAGGAAAGATTGCTAAATTAAACTTAATAAAAAACAGGACACAGTCAGCAATTATGCTAGCATGATACGACAGGTAATTAGTAAAATAAACAATCAACATTAATTCCACCAATAATGAAAACATTTATGTTGGAGTCCTAGACTCTTCCATATAATTAAATGTTAATCATCAAATATCCATTATGCAATAGAAAACAAATGTGACAATGTTATTGTAACTCCCATTCCTCCCTCACTTCCCACAACTCATTTTCTGTGCGCCTTCCCTTCTTACAACCCTAACATTGACCAAAAACCAGCAAAAAAAATTGGAGTGATTCTACCACGAAATGAATTTAATTATTGCTTTTCTCATGATCATTTGTTGCCGAATGTCCCAGTTTAGGTTGATCTTATTCCTGATGATAACAGGACTTCACCAGACACTTACCATTACTATCAATAGTTAATTATTAGTACATAATTAATAGTTAACATAACATAGTCTAAAGTTCCCTTCAGCTGTTTGCATTAGCTTTTGCAGCCTATGTTGACAGCAGCCATATTTGCCCATTAAGATGCTTGGTCTAGACTTATCTAAGCCTACCTGAAGCCAGTTCAACCTGGAACATGCATGGAGACTAGTATAGTAATTTTCATCGTTGGCCTCAACGGGGTTTTATGAGGAAAAACTATTTTCAATCTTTGTCCCAACTCTGAAACAACTGAGGCCATAGTTATCAACTCCTTTAAGTAAATACTTACAGAAATATTTCTGAGGATTGTCATATAAATAAGCTAACCAAAATAGGAACAAATTAAGAGGTACAGTGTGATCACCAAGCTGGATTTGCAGGACATATAATGCAGTACATATGAGTAGTAAGAAAATACGAATATATAAACAAACCATGAGGAAGGTTTATCAAAGTTACCAGAAGGATATCACACCCACCATTCTCAAGGGCTTCCTGGGCAGATTGGAGAGCAAGAATAGACTCAACGAGTGGGTCTCGATATGGTGAAGGGCAGTGATTTTCACTTTTTTCTTCCTTAGCCTCCCAAGATAAATCTGCAGGTAAATCATCTGCTGAAAGTTCTTCAATATCACCTGAATTTTCTTTCTTATAAGCAGTTTGTACTTCCTCACTGATCTGGTCTTCACCTTCATGAGCTTCATCACCATTTTCCCGATCATAATTCATGGAGTTTCCACTTTGCTTTCTGTTACTTGTCACTGAAAATGAACCCTGCATAAAGACAAAGTCGGAGCTTCTAGAGTCAGATTCCATGCTGGAATGAGAGTTTTCCATCTCAATTTTTACCCTTTCTCCTCTGAGCTTCTTACTGCTTTCAACATGACCATTTCCCTGTTGAACTCTTTGACTTGAATTACCCACAGTCTTCCCACCTAAATTATTCATCTGGCTTTTCTCATATCCGAAAATTGCAGGCTGTTCATACCTCACCTTTGGCATACTGGCTGCTGTAGAAGACTTGCTACTCTGATCCTCACTATTTTCAGAGTCTGCAGCAGCAGCATAAGCAGGCCCAACTGCAAACCTGGAATCCGAGCTGGGGCTATGCATCATGAACCCATGAGCAACACTTGCGTTCTTTAACACATTCACAGGTCCAAAAGGAGGCTCACTATTCTGCTTGATCTCAGGTGATGCCATATGTTGAGGTTTAGTTGGATTTGCAGAACCAGACAACCCTCGCTTCAATAGTTTACTGCTGTCCATAGTGGCGGTGGAATCTTTAACAAAATCTCTCTTGATACGCCTCCATTTCTTCAACCCATAGCCTTTGGTGGTAGGAGGAGATGACCCTGCAGGAGATTTAGCTGTTATAGGAGGTGAATGCATTGGCTGCACAATCTCAGCACCATCCTTTACATGATTATCAGCTGTCAAAGCATGGGAATCGACACTTTGATCAGGGGAGAACATCTGGATCTCATCATCATTCGGCCACGACCCATTACTCTTAAAATTGTCAACGTGATTATCCTTGATTTTATTGTCATCAACGTGTTGAGTGGCTTCATTATCCTCCACAAATTCAATCGCAGAACATTCACTCTCCAAATCCATAACAATCGATATGGGTTTCGCTCAAGATTTACTCAGATCATAATGAAGAACAATAACTATCATTCCAGTAAAATCACGTCCAAATCAACCAAAATCTGGAAAAAAGACACCAAACCAAACCAACCCAACCCAACCATTCTGTTCAAAAATCTTGCATTAAAACTGAAGTAAATGAATAAAATTTAATACACCCATCATTGGATTCTCTGTTATCATCAATTTCCAACACAATTGAGCTTGATTTATCGGATATATATATCATGAAAGCTCAGCAAAGATTGAATTGGGAAATAGAAAAAAAGAGAAATTGAGGACGTTATGTGATTAAAAATCGTACCTTTGATGCAGTCACAGTAGGAAATTGAAAAGAGGGCTTCGAATTGAAAGAAATTGGAAACCCTAAACTGTGGTTAGATTTTCAGTTGCATAGGGCTTGGAATTTATTGGGAGAGAAATTGCGATATTATTATTTTAATAAATTAAAATTGGCAACATTTCATGGTGGTCATAGTAAGTATAGGCTATATTCTAAATAATAATAATTAATAATTACAAATTTGATTTTAAAAAAAGAAAATGAAAATGAACGTGGGCGGTGGGGTTGAGACCCTCATAGTGAGCCCACACTCAAACGGATCTAATAAGAATTGTAAATGATATATTAATATTTGAAAGTTAAGTTCGATTTAAATAAAATTTGAATTCGGTTCGATAATTATCGAGTTGAGTTCGAATTCGAATAGTTTAATTCATCGATTGAGTTGAATTTAAATATTTTTATATATAATTCGAGTAGCTCGCGAGCATAATCGAACTTTTATATTTAAATTTTTTTTATTATTTTAATTAATAAAATATCTCGAATTCAAGTTCGAACTCAAACACAAATAATCAAATTTTTATCGAATATAAGAATTAAATTTATTTTTATATATTTTTGAATTTAATTAAACGAGTTCGAGTAATTCGAATTTGATCATAAATTAAAATCGAGCTAAAAAAATAAAATTTGATCGAGTTCGAGGTGAATATCGAATCGCGAGTAAAGAATCAAACTCAAACTCAAACTTAAATTTTTCACTGTATCGACTCGACTCGATTACGTTGTAAATCCAATCGGACGTTGCCAGATTTTGGTAATGAGAGATGGAGAGCGGCTGGAATTACTGCATTGCCCCTTTCTGAATTCTTCTTTCCTTCGTTCGTTCATGGACAAGAACTCCGTATAATATAATTATTACATAAGCAAGTCTCTAAATAAAAATTAAATCATTTTTAAATTTTTATTATTTTATTAAAATCAATCAAATTTTTAAATATTTATTTCCACTTAATTAAATTATGACCGAATGAAAATCAATATTGATGGATAATAATTTTTAACTAATAAGAGTTTAATTAGTGAAAATAAAATTTTGAAAACTCAATTGATTGTAAAAAAAATAAAAAAATTTATATAATTATTTAATTTTAGTTTAGAGACTTTTTCATATTTATGTCAATTATTTATGTATTGTTTGTTTAAAAAATTGGTTTCAATATTTCTTTAGATTAATTAAGGTTTTATACTTAATATATTATTAATATATAAATATTTTATATTATCAGTACATTACAAGTGTAACATCATTAATAACTAATATTAAAATTTAAAAAGCTTTAACATGATGAAATATTTAAATTTTAAAATATTTACTTTTAAGAACTCTAAACTTTAAATTTACTAATTCATGATATAATAATTTATAATATATTAATAATATATAATATTTATATACTGATAATACACCAATCATAAACTCTTGTAATAAAACTAACTTTAACTTATGTAGTTCATCTTTGGATTTGTATCTTGCTGTGGTAGATTTTGAATGTGGTGAGATGGGATGGGCCTTTAGTTTTTTTTTTTTTTTTAGAAATAGGAAGAGATATGAGGATGCGATGGAGAATGGCCTTTTTCCTAAATAGTAACTTGGAAATTAGGGATTCATTGCAAATGAAAACAATAATAAATCATGTAGTTTTACGATAACATGTTAATTTTTTAATTTAATGATTAAATTTTAATTTTTTTAATCTAATTTTTTTTATCATAACATAATTAATCAATGGAGTTTACAAGGAATGTCAAACATATATTTTCCCATGATTATGAGGGTTATATATTAATTTAATTACTCTTGCATAATTGTATTTAAGGTTGGCATCGGATCGGGTTCGAGGCGGGTTTTGCTCGCCCCGAACCCGACCCGACTTCATCATCAATAAACTCAAACTTGATCCGACCCGAAATTTTTTTATTTTTTTATATCCGACCCCGATCCGAACCCGATATTATATAATCCGTATCCGATTCGATCCGACCCGAAATCAATAAAAATATTATTTTTTAAATATAAATATTTAAAAATATCATTATATAAATATATATATAAATAATTAAAAAATTAATTAAAAAATAATTTTTTAAATAATATCGGGTAGGGTAAGGTCGGGTATGCCTAAAACCCGACCCCGATTATTTTTTAACATTACCCGACCCGAAACCAGAAATTAAAAAAAAAAACCCGACCTCATAGGGTCGGGTCGAAACCCGTCGGGGTCGGGTTGAATTCTCATCCCTAATTGTATTACATTAATTTTAATATTTATATTTAATATATTATCAGTGTATAAATTTTATATATTATCAGTAAATTAAATTATGTCATTTTATTAATAAGATGAATCAAATGATGATGTCTTATTTATAAGTAAATTTTTTTTTAAATTAATTTTTTATATATTAATTTTAAAAATTAATATTTATTTATTAATAAAATAATATTATCTGATTTATTAATAATATATAAAATTTATATACTAATAATATATCAAATATAAACTCTTAATCTTATCAAACTTTTTTTTTAGTAGATTGAAATCAACTAATAATAAATATAAATGATAATATAATTAAACAGAATAGATATAAATATAGATAGTGTTTGCACTGAAAGCAGATTCAAGGTAAGTACCTGCAAGGAGTAAATGATAGTCAAGAACAAAGGACGAAAGTGATTTTGACGTTTGTGTTTCGATATTTAAAAGATTAAAAAGGATAGAGAAAAAATAGGCTAAAAAGTTCAGGAAATGATCAAGATGAGTAGCTTTTCACAATGAAAGGGCTTTGCCTATTGGCCCAAAAAAAAAAAAAAAGAGACTATGGCGTAGGATAAATATTTTGGAGAGTAGAACTCATGTGGGTTTTATTAAAACAGCTAGCTTTTGAGAAGTGCAGACTCATCAACTTCAAATAATTTTTTACTTAAGTGTTAAGATTTGAATATTAAATTTAATAAATATTATATATTAAAAATTAATAAATTGAGTTAAATTTAGATTTATTTTTTTTATAAAAAAGTGATCATAATTTAAAAATAAAAAAACAGATTATAAGCATTAAGATTTAAATTTTAAATTCACTTGATATCATTTTTTAAAAATAATTATATAATTTAACTTAATTAAATTTTAAATTTAAAAATCTTAGTCCGTTTGCTTCATCATGTTATTATATTGTCTAAAATTTCAACCTTCATAAGAAAACAGCGGCTGAGTTGGATTCCTTTTTGCAGCCAATGATGTTTCAATGGAGATTCCATTGCCGCTTTATATTTGATGGATTGAGATAAAGCTCCAATGATGATAATTTTTTCACAATGCTGAGACAGCTTTTCACAATGAAAGGGCTTTGCCTATTGGCCCAAAAAAAAAAAAAAGAGACTATGGCGTAGGATAAATATTTTGGAGAGTTGAACTCGTGTGGGTTTTATTAAAACAGCTAGCTTTTGCGAAGTGCAGACTCATCAACTTCAAATAATTTTTTACTTAAGTGTTAAGATTTGAATATTAAGTTTAATAAATATTATATATTAAAAGTTAATAAATTGAGTTAAATTCGGAGTTTAACTTTAAATAATTTTTATATAACTATATGATTACAAGTGGAGGAGCTTATAGATTCTATTGCCAAAAGAAAGTAAAAGAAAACTTTTAAAGGAAGAAAGAGATGATGCATTAGGATAAAGGAGGGCAAACACCCTGGTTCCAATGGCCTTTGTTTAAAGAGCATCTGTGTTGGCCTAAAATGCTTTATTTGTTCCTTTATTTTTTGGCCTAAATGCTTGTACGAAGTAATGCTTCTCAGTATATATTTGATTGATTCACATTCTTCTATTTTATTTTAATTTTTTCGCTCTTGGCCTTGGGATAGGATGCTTGCTTGCGTCAGATAAAATTTTGCCAAAAACTTCAATTGAAACACAATCATAACAGTGAAACAAAAAGATGAATAATCCAAAAAAATTCTTTAGTAAATTGAGCATAAGTCGGTTTGAATCATTTTGATTGATCGAAATATTGAATTCAGTCAAATTGATTTGCATAATTCAATTTCGATAATTATCGATTAATATATTTGATTGATTTGAGCTTTTAAAATTAATAATTAAATTAATCGAATTAATCGATCTTTTTAATAGATTTTTAAATATATTATATATAATATAAATATATTAATTTTTTATTTATAATTTAAGAATAATAAATATGACATTGATAACAAAATTATAAGATGAGTTTTATTTAGAGTTGGCAAAATTTACTCAAATTTGAAAACTCGCTCAAGTTGACCCGTGACCAAATCCAAATTAATTTGGATTGATTAAGAAAAGTTAAAGATCAAAACTCAAAAAAAATCTGAATTTGAAAAAGCCCAAAAATGATACAACTCGAACCCATAATGACCCGAATCCACGATGTCTGAACTCGAGATCTATTCGATCTAAAATTCATAAAAATCAAATTTTAATCCAAAAAAAAATCGAACTATAATTATATGACTATTTTAAAAAAATAATAATAAATAATAAATATTTATTAAATAAAAATTAAAATGTTATTATGTATAAGCAAAATTATATTGATGATAAAATTAATTATTAGCAAGAGCAAATTAGAGTATAATTTAGAAGTACACTATGCTAGTGATAATTTTAATACAATTAATTTTTATATTTAATTGATATTGAAATTAATTATATTTAAATAACTACATTAGTTGAGTTTAGGGTTATTAGCATTATATTAATTAATTTAATAATATATACTATTTAAAATTTTAATTGAATATTAGGTCAATTAGTGTATATCCAATGTTATTATATTTAATTTAATGTTAAAATGATCAAATTATTTCTCTTTTAATAATTTTACTATTTAACTTTGCGAAATTTGGTCAATTGATAAATAAGAATGCATCCAATGTTATTATGTTAAGGTCAATTGGTGCATACGATTTTTTTTTTTTAAATTTAAGATTCTAATGAAACATTTAATCAATTATTGTATATGATTATATTAAACGTGATAATATTAGTATAATAATTGATATAAAAACTAAAAACAAAATAAATATATGATTGAACTAATTAATTGATCAATTATTCATATTAAATATTTTTTAGTAAATGATAGTCGATAATTTTTTTAATAATGCATTTTTTAATAATGTCTGCTATTTAGTATTATAATTGGATAATTGTTTTAATTGATGAATATTCTTAGTCTAACATTCTAATTGAAACATTCTCTCAAACAGTGTATATGATTAATTATTTGGCATTTTCATTTATTTCCAAATGAAAAACAAAATAAATGTAAGAAAAATTCTTGAAAATTTGAAATATTTGTTAAATAATTATAATATAGTGACTAAAATGTAATAAAATAAAATAAAAAATAAAAATGAAAATTTATTGGACTAAGTGGCTAAAGCTAAGTGTCCGGTGATTCAATGAATTATTGGGTTAAGACTTAAAGATAAAAAACCATTTATATAAATATTTAGTGGATTTTATTTTCTTGAAGTGATTTTTTTCATGTAGCCCTAATGATTTAGGACTTTTATTTTATATATTAGATTTATATATTTATTTATACGATGGATTAAAAAAATAATAGATAATATTTTTTCTAAATAGAGTAATGGATAATATTAAAATAAAAAATTATTATATAATAAACATATATAAATATTTTTTAATTTTTAATTTTAAACTTTAATATTTTTGTCGTATTTTTAGTCAATTATTAATTATTACATTCGAAATTATAAAAAAAAGTTTATAACTTATAAAATTTTAAAATTATTTAAATTCATTTAATCTTGTTCTACTCAAACTGAATCGAACATAAAATAATTCGAATATGAAATAATCAATATTTGAGATTATTTGAATTAAAAAAATCTGATATAATACCATCCGAAATAAAAAAAAAATCTGAACTAAAAAAGAACACAAAAAAAAAAAAAATCATAATCCGAATAATGTAACTTTGAAGACAAACCGATTTGAGCCAGCCTGAAGTAGCCCCGTTTGTCGCCTTTAGTTTCATTAAATAAAATTGTTGCAAAATTATTGTGCAAAATTAATAGCAAAAAAAAAAAAAAAACTGATGAAAAATTTTGATCTTTCGATCAAATCGATTGACGTTATATCAGTTTGATTATTTTAAATTATTAGAAATGAATTGATTAATTTCAGTTATATTTTTTAAAAAAATTTATTAATTTGATTTTCGATTTTTTATAATGGAACCGACTGATTATACACTTCTAAACCTAAATAATATGGACGCATAACATCTTAATCTGGTTTGACAAATTTGAAATTCAAGACGGGTGACAGAGACAAACGTGGGATTGTAATTTGTAACAGATCCTATCAACTTGAATTATCTTTATAAATATGCAATTTTCTTCTTCTTTTCTAATTACTTTTTCCTCTTTAATTTTTTTGCATTACTCAAATGGAAAAATATGGTATTATATCTGAGATGAGCAATCGTAAATCATCTGCTTTAAATCCATTGGTTTTCAAAAAGATTGATTCGCCAGATTGCTTTTCCTGTATGAGCAGTGAGTGCTGTGATTCAGCTCCCGAATAGGAAAGGAATAATGGAATAGTAGCTAAGGTACACGTGACAATTTTAAATACAATATAATATAATATAAAATAATACTATTTAAATTTTTAATAAAAATCATATAGATTTAAAAAATAAAAAATAAATTTTGTATTTAATATATTTTTTTAATAAAAAAAATGAGATAGATAAATTACTTAATCTTTTTCAAATCAAAATAAAATTTATTGTATCTGACAGTATAAGATAAATTATTGTAAATCATACATTTGAGATTATCTCAATAAATAATCATCGACAAAATTTAAATTCAAAATTTTTTTTAAATAAAATAAATCTTAACTAATTAAATCAATCATTATATTTAATATACATATTTAAATTGAATTTTAAACATTTTCCATTTGTTCAGTACGGTTACCATTCAAATACATGAATTGACAAATGACAAGTAATAATACCACTGAAAAGGTTTTGATTTATTTTCTCAATAATGTTTGGGCGGAGATCAAAAATAGCAGTTGGTCAGTTCTCAGTTGGACCGGTCTTCTGTCCAATTCCCCGTGCAAATAGATTCAAATTGTGTCAGATGGGTACACATTCATATCAACACATGGATCGCATAACCCTATAATACTAAATAAATGCTTTCCAATGGACAATATTAACATGGATTGCTTTAATCTAATGTTGTTTGAACCCTTAATACAACCACTACCAATAAATTTTAAATTAAATTTTATAATTTTAAATATGATATATAAAGTGATATAAAAATATATTAAAATAATAATAAAAATTATATACAAATTTGATAATAATAAAAAATATATTTTATATTTAATATATCAATATAAATTATGATAAAATAATATTTTTATTTTATACTGTTAAATATGAAATTTATAAATATAAATATATGAAGTAACATAACTATGATATTCATCGTTACGCTTACAATGTCATTTTCTCTGAGTTTTTTTTTTATTAATTTTCTTTTCTGACCATTTTTGGCTGCTGTGGCAAATGAGAACCTACCCACGTTAGGTTTAGAACTGAAATATTATAGTATAACACATAAAACAAAATGAACTGGCCGAAGCCCAAGATAATCTATTTAATTTATCATATAATAATAACTACACCATTAACCCTCCGCAGTCTGCAGCTTCTTTTAAAGCATTTATCTAATATTATATGTTCAAAACCTCACCGATCCAGCCCAACATTAGATTCCCCCCATTCTCTACAGCTTGCTTTTTGGAGAGAAGATGGAGATGGCCATTCAGGATTTGCAGCAGAGGGTTTCTCTTCTTTTCCTTTGCCTCAAAAGTAAAAACAAAGCTAAGGCCAGTAAGTTATTTCTATACATATATATTGCATCAGTTTTCTCATTTCTGGCATGGATATCACATAAATATGAAAGAGTCGAAACATTGTTCCTGTCTTTGTTTTAATCAAACATTAATTAATATCATCCATTTGTTGTTTCAGTCTTTGAGAGCAAAGCTTGAATGATTCAAGTCTCTATCAAATGATTACTAAATGGTGATTGCAGTTTATGGGGTTTAATGGACTGTTCTTTTTGTTAATACTTCCGATCACATCTACTCCACCATGGGGCACAAGGGAACAGGTCTAGCTCTGATGGAAGGGAGGCCCACGATATCAAGTAAGATATATCACATGCAGATTTCACTGTTGCATTCATCTTCTGCCATAGGCTTTGGTCACAGCCACTCTCTCAATTATATCTGTCAGATAAAATTAATGCACTGAGAATCCAGGAAGGGCTCAGGTTCTTTGGTCACGCAAGTAATGCAAGAGGCTTTTATCAGCTTCTAAACTGTAATGATAACTTTCAAAATACAAGAGAAAAGAACCATTATGGTGTAGGCTATAGAGTACAGCACTACAGCTTAGATCTACAACACTGCTGCAGACATCGAAATCTTCATGGCTGTGGGTGAAGAAGAAGTATCGGTATCAGGTATTGGCAAACTTTCTCAGGAAAACCATCCCAGCGGCCTCACCATCAAGACTTCATCTTGTTGCAGCAAAACTGGTAAAGATGCTTTAAGCTTGAAAACCTCAATTGAGTCATCTCCATACAACTCTCCCTCCTTGGTGTCCCCACCATCGTCAGCATTTGTTTCAGCTTTGCAGTCACCATATATATCCCCGAGAGCCACAACCACGAAACCTCAAGATAACTCAACTCCACAAGATAACCTTACTCTTGTTATACATCCATCGCCACCAGTCTCATGCAGAGGGGGTTATTCACAATCTGATGACATGCCAAGTAGTTCATACACTCCACCATCAGACCTGTATGAATACTCTGATGACCCTGACCCTGCTGATCCGAAGCTCAAGTTTGTAACTTGTGTTCCAGTTCCAGATCCTGCTCCACGCATCTCATTCTCATTTCCAGTGCCTAGGATTTCCTTCACCAAAATTCCTGTTTCTCCAGCTTCTAATGCCAAACTCAGGAGCTGTGATGTTTTCATTGGCTTCCATGGTCAAAATCCAAACTTGGTTCGCTTCTGTAAGTGGCTTAAGTCAGAGCTGGAGCTTCGGGGAATTGCTTGCTTTGTTGCAGATAGAGCCAAGTATTCAGATAGTCAGAGCCATGAGATCGCTGACCGAGTCATCTGCTCAGTCACATATGGAGTTGTGGTGGTCACAAATTCTATCTTTCTCAACCATCTCAGCTTGGAGGAAATTAGATTCTTTACTCAAAAGAAGAACTTGATTCCGCTCTTCTTTGACACGGGGCCAGCTGAGATCATGGGACTTCTCAACTGCAATTCAATCGGTAAAGAATGCAAAGAAGCCATCGACGGACTAATCAAATGTCACGAGTTCAAGCTGGAAGCCAATCAGGGTAATTGGAGAAGCTGTGTAGCTAAAGCTGGAGGAATGTTGAGAGCAAAGCTTGGAAGGAAGAGTGTGGCAGATAAAGACTTTGCTGGTGAAGCATTTGAGGAGCTGCCATTTCCAAGAAACAGGTTTTTTGTGGGAAGAGAGAAGGAGATTATGGAGATTGAAACTGCTCTATTTGGACATGCTGATTCTCTTGAGCAAGATTGTTGCTCTATGCCTATCATAAAAGGTGAAGCAAGTGGGCAATCTGAAGGGCTTGCCGATGAAGAAAGTGATGGGAAGTGCAAAGAGCCTACGCTAGAAGCATGGGTTGAACAAGTTATGGGAAGAAATTCAATGAAAAGGTCCAAATACAAGAAATCAAAGTGTGGGAACTACAAGAGCTTAGGCAGCAGTGTGATTTGCATAAATGGTGTTCCTGGCATTGGAAAGACAGAGCTTGCTCTTGAATTTGCCTATAGGTATTCTCAGAGATATAAGATGGTTCTTTGGGTTGGTGGAGAAGCTCGATATTTCCGGCAGAATATATTGAATTTATCACTCAACTTGGGATTGGATGTGAGTGTTGAAGATGAGAAGGAAAGGGGCCAGATTCGAAGCTTTGAGGAGCAGGAAATTGAAGCATTCAAGCGAGTGAAGAGAGAGCTCTTTCGGGACATGCCTTATCTATTGATCATCGATAATCTTGAGACAGAGCGAGAGTGGTGGGAAGGAAAAGACCTGCATGACTTGATTCCTAGGAACACCGGAGGGTCTCATGTGATTATCACAACTAGGCTATCAAAAGTGATGAATTTTGACACAAAGCAGCTTCCTCCATTGCATTCATCTGATGCAATGATTTTAGTAAGGGGAAGAAAGAAAAAAGATTATCCGGCAACGGAGTTGGAGTTCTTGGAAAAATTTGATGAGAAATTGGGAAGATTGAGCTTTGGTTTGTGGATTATTGGTTCACTGCTTTCGGAACTTTCCATTTCTCCATCTGCACTCTTTGAAGCTGTGAACGAGGTCTCACTTGAAGATGGTTCCACTTCATCATCTATAAGCACTAGTGGTGACCAATACTGCAAAACCAACTCTTTCCTGATGAAAATTCTATGTTTTTGCTTCGAGGTCTTGCAGCAAGTTAAGGGGAGAAGGAACATTCTCGCCTCAAGAATGCTTCTTGTTGGTCCTTGGTTTGCCCCATCACCCATTTCAGCAAATTTGCTAGCGACTGCAGCTAAGTACATGCCTCTTGCTGGAAATCGATTCAGAAGGTGGACTAACTGCCTGAGCCTCGTGTCCAGTTGCTGTGGTGGATGTGGTTTAGCTAATCAAAGTGAAGAAGATTCTGCCATTCTCCTAGTAAAACTAGGATTGGCAAGAAGAGTGAATCGACAGAGTGGATATTGGATTCAATTCCATCCGATAACTCAATCGTTTGCAAAGAGGAAAGAGTGCTTATCCGCTGCTAAAGCCACAGTCCAAGGCATAAGAAAACATGGGAATCCATTGCTGAATTCTGATCATCTATGGGCTTCTGCATTTCTTGTATTCGGATTCAAGTCCGAGCCCCCAATAGTGCAATTAAAAGCAATTGATATGGTTTTGTACATCAAGAAAACGGCACTACCGTTAGCAATCATAGCCTTCACAACATTCTCAAGATGCAACTCGGCATTGGAGTTATTGAAGGTGTGCACAACTGTGTTGGAGGAAGTAGAAAAGTCATTTGTATCACAAGTACAAGACTGGTGCCATGGATCCCTTTGCTGGAAAAAGAAGTTACAGGGTAATCAAAGGGTGGACGAGTACGTGTGGCAAGATGTTACATTGTTGAAGGCTACTCTATTGGAAACGAGAGCAAAGCTGCTGTTAAGGGGTGGCCATTTTGACAGCGGTGAGGAACTGTGCAGAACTTGTATCAGTATTCGGACAGTAATGCTCGGGCACAATCATGCCCAAACCTTGGCTGCTCAAGAAACACTTGCCAAGTTAGTGAGAATGAGGAGCAAGATATGATGTACCTGATTCTTAATAGAAGTTCATTTTTGTACACAACGTAAAATACAGCGATGAATTTTGTAGTTTTCATTCTTCACTTGAATTAGATTTGTTGAATCACGGCATATGATCCAAACACAGTATGCTGGGGAAAACAAACTCCTACAGCAACTCAGTGTAAAATGTATCCTCCACTGAAAATGATGGACTGGGATTAAACCTAACAATTTTATACAAACTATTATGACATGACATGAAAAAAACACAAAATTAGTCGCATGATTTAAAATTTAAAAAAAATTATGAGTTTGACAATAAAAAAATGTTTCGTGTTTGTTTTGTTGAAACAAATTTGACATGTTAAATTCATGTTCTATACTAATTTGATAAAAGAGAAAAGGAAGAGAAGTCCCATGTTTGGTGGAGTGTGTTTGACTACGGAAATGGGTTGTCTCCAACGTGGAAGCATTTGTGATGGGTAAAGTGAGCCATCAACATGCAAGTTTTGGATAACGTCGATGTCCATCCCATAACCGTTGGCTTTAAAAACAGAATAATTTTGTAGGAATAACCAATGGCAAATAAATTCTCCAATGCATTGGATAACCATTAAACTGTAAAATTTATTATTAGATTGAATTTGTACAACATAGTGTGGCAGTCCCAAAGTTAAGTCCAAGGCTCACGCTCATGATGACTGCTCAACTCAACCCAGACAAATGGGAACAACAACATTAATTTCATTTCAGTTTCTATAGACATAAATGTAGCTCTACTACTATGTATGTGTAACGGTTGGGCACTGCTTTATGATTACATCTACCAATTTGTGTATTTATGTTTATCTGTTTTTTATTACAGCATGTCGTATATGTTTAAAATATTTATCAAATATAAAAATTATCATATTATAATTTATATATATAAATTAAATATAAAATATATTTATCCGTAATTATCATATCAAATTTATATATAAATTTAAATGATATTAAACAAAAAATACATTTATCTGTAATTAATTGAGTTCATGGATTCATAAATGATTAAGTTTATAACTAACTAGATTCATGTAGCTTAAAATAAAAAAAAACATTAATTAATAATGTCCATGAATCTAATTAATTGGAAATACTATAATCTTATATTGTACTCCAACTAACACAATCCATAAAAATTTCTACAATGAACCTAACAATTTATCTCAATCAAAATCTCGTAATTAAGAAAACTTATCATTTAGTTAAACACTTTAATTCAAGTGTCAATTAATTTCTTCTAAAACTAAAATAATTGTAAATTATTGATTAGTAATAATTAAGAAGACTTTGTTTGCTACTAAACTTATATAATTTATGTATTTTTACGGTATAAAATATTATCAATTCATATATTTTTATTATGTTTTGTATGATAATTATAAATTATAATTTATGTCAATATAAAAAAATTAATATATATTTTTAATTTTTATTAAATTTATATATGATTTTTATTAAAATTTTAATCTGTATTATTTATATATATTTTTATATTAATTTTATATTATATCATTATATTATATTTTAAATTTCAAATTAAGGAAATAATAGGTTTTTTATGCACGTCAGCCATAAATTAGGGAAAGATGTACTACATTTATGTAATAATTTCTCGATAAGAGAGAGGGGGGGGGGGGGAGGCGGCTTGAGAGAGAGAGAGAGAGAGACGAGGCTTCAGCTTCAAAATGTCTACTATAATAGATTACAACTTAATTAAACAAAATTAATTTCTATCTGCACATGAAGAAATATTTATATCTAAGAAAAATGAAAAAAAATCAATAAATATATTAAAAAAATACAAATAATGCCGTACCAAATCTAAAACAATGTCCATTGATACAGTATTGAATATTTTGGTTTTCAAAGAAACGCATAGAATTCTTTAATAATAATAATAATAATAATATAAATATCATTGTATTAGTGATAATTTTTTATATAAACGTTGTTAAATTAATTATATTTTTTAGATATAAATATTATTAAAATAGTAATATTTTATAAAAATATCATTATTTTTTCAACGTGTGTATAATTAATACTTTTAATAAATTTTTTACAAATATTATAAATTTTTAATAACATTTATAAATGTTACTAAATATTAAAAATAATATAACTAAAAACTTAAATCCCCTATGATTATCCAATTCCCATGTACATAAATTTTATACAAAAAATTTCTCCACGTATCCTAGTCAGAGTTGAGCTTGTACCAAAGTAATTAATATATACTAGTATTAATTGTTGGGGGCCAACCACCATTGGCAAGGTTCAACACTAGTGGTATTTGTGGCAGCTCAAGTTTACAACAAACCTTAATTACACTACAAGTAAATAATAATTCATTAATTAAATTTCATTTTTTTCTTTCTTTATTAATTCGTATAAAAATATTAAGATAAAATGAGTAAGGATTATATGAAATAGTTATTCCAAATCATTATATCTTTTTAAAACTGTCACCTAATCACATTTTAAAAATAATAAAATATATATGAATAATATCTATATATCTTCCCTCTTTTGTTTCGGCTTCATCTTTCCAAAAGTGAAAGATATTTTTGCTTATACAACGGCCATTTGCATTTTCTTTGTTTTTTTGTTGAGCACAATCATGAGTGTACTGGAGTGAGTTTCGTACTGTCTTGTTCTATAACGGCTATATTTCATTTTCATTGCAAAACTTCCATGCTTTTATATTTTGAGTTATTATGACCATAAAAACTGCAACCACTCCTAAAGCTTGTTTGTGGTTTCGGGGATGGGGTCCTACAATTTGTTCCTATATGCGAAACTCCATTAATTTCTACTCTCGTCTCCTAAGTCCCAATCCGACCACGCATCAACTGATTTCAAAACCATCATTAAGTGTACTGGTCTATTATCTATTTACTTTTAAGATAGTGTATAAGATTATGATAAAATATAATAAAATTATTTTATTTTATTTTATTTTATTTTATTTATATATATAAATATTAAGATATAATAAGTTTATTTATTGATTAAACTTATTTTTTAAAATTTATATAATTTAAATTATTGATATAATTTTTAAAATTATAATAACATATATAAATTTAATTTTATGAATTTAAAATAATTTTTTTACTTTGAAAGAATGATTAATACTTTTTGTAATTGTATCTTTTTTCATATATAAATTAAATATGATATAAAATCATTATCATCTTATTTTTTTTTTTTTAGACAAAAAGTGAACATGATATAAGATAATCATATATCAAATATGATCTTAATAAATATATAATTCTTCTAATTACCATCCTCCCTTCTTGGATTGGATGTCAAACACACTGATGTATGTATGTATATTTTATACGAGTAATCCAACTGATCTCAAACACTTAAAACTAAAGAGGTTCGTAAAACATAACGCTCAAGTCATAAAAGTAAAGGAAGAGAGAAAAAAATAAAGAAAGTGAAGAATGTGAGAATGATAAAAATGAGTGACTTAATCTTTGTTGAAAAGAGAAGAGATGGGGTATTTATACTTGAGCTAACGCGGCTGAGCTAGGCCTGAAGTGAGATGAATCGCGGCTGAATAGCCTAATAGTCTTCGATGGTCAGATGGCATGCTAGCTTGGTCAAGTACCATGAATGTGGGACGGGGTGGTCATCTATTTTGGCAGTCGCGGGAAGTGTAGATCTGGGAATCTTAGCCGCGCACCTCGCCTAATATGGTTTTGCCACGTCATATTGATCAAAAAACAAAAATGCCCTTACAATGCTAAAATATTTTAGAATCACCAAAAAGATTATTTTACCCCTAAAGTCTAGAATATCTATACCATATACCTATATAATTTATAGGGCTATAATAGCATCCGAAGCATCTTCGATGTTCTAATTTATAACACTAATATGGTGTCAGACATGCATGCTGATGCTGCCGTGCAAGATTCTTACCCTGATCACTTGTCAATGGCTCATCTGTGACACATATAAACTGAAAGCTCTTCTATTACAATCCATCTTCAACATGTACTCCAGGATAGCAGTACCACACTCAGAACTATTGGTATCTATATTATGTTGTACAGATTTTATGTTGTCACAATGACATGCAACAATAAATTTTATCGACTTTTATTGACCCTGAGTTCATGATCAACTGATGAACAACTATAATAATTCATCACAATACAAATTATTTACAATACCCCAGTTTGAATAAACATCGAAACGGATCACTGACCATAATGCTTACACCATTCATTAGTAAGATTCACAAAAGCATTGCTTTGAATCAAATGCAAGTGATTTCAGAACGTGAAAACAGTTCTAACAAAAATAAATAAAATTAGAAAAACAAGACAAATACTTCTATAGGAACACTTTCAACCCCATTGGCTTTAAGCCCAGGTCCCTTCGTCAGTTTTTATTCGAGGATTGCTTATACATTATCTGGTCTTTGGGATAACTTTGTAGTAGTCTAAGCAGAAGCCTCAAAAACTGCATAGACTTTTGCCCAACAGTAAGTGAAAAAAAAAAAAAATACAAACTCTGAGATCTCAATTGTTGAACTTGCACCGAATCTATTAAATCAAATTGCCATTACTTTAGCTGTTGAAAATCATTTTTGAACTCCAAAAGTTTCTCTGTCAGTAGTCATGGAGAAGCTCAAGATTCAGTACACGTTTGATAAGAAACCTGCCGATGCACAGACCATCTAAGAACTCCCATCCCAAGCAAAGCTGCTAAGACAAACTTGGAGAATAATAAAGTGCAGACCCGAGATGGCTTGTTGATGGCGATACAGCCATAAAAGGACCCCGCTGCATCAAACCTGAACCTTCTGAAGTGCAATCCCACCTAACAGGACTTGCATTGGTTCGTCTGGAAGGTGGGGTTGCATGAAGGTTGTTATTTGCCACCACTGTTGGGTCACCTAGTAAAGAGTCCTCTGACTGATAAAGAGAAAAAGGATTCCTGTGCCTTGCACTACTATTAGGAACTAATGGCATTGAAAGACCAGATGATATTAGTTGGCTTTCCCTCAAGCCTTCATAGTGATTGACAATGTCAGCTGTCTTGTTGGTTTCACTGTCAGGAGCATCATCAATGACAATGACTTCCTTACCGGAAACAGCAGAATCCCCATTCCAATATCGGCAGTCTAGAGTTGCAACTTTCTCCATATCATATGTTGCTGCTGGACCTAGCTTGTTCTTAGGTCTATTTGGCCGACGTGGCATATTATGGTTACCTCCATATTTTTGCAGCTCAGTGGACACTGTGAAACCACCATCCATATGCTCATCGAGAAACATACCAGGTGGAAATTGCACAAGCGTTTGTGGTGTTGCAAGATTTGCACAGTTTCTATAGCCATTTGTCAATCGGACATCCAAAGATTGCCCCACCAAATCATTTGGAATCTGATCAAAGATTAAAGAATCCTGAGGCATTGCATGATGGAAGGACAGACCACCTTGATTCCAGGTATTGCTAGGAGAGATTCCAGAAGAAGTTGGAAAGCTAGGAGTTGGACAATTACTCTGGGCACATGACTGGGCCTGACCAAGTGGCTTAGATGCATCTTCCTCTTTGTTAACCACCATTAAGTTCTTTCCCATCAGCCTGAGAATGGGATTAGAAGACGATGGAGTAGCAGAATCACAGTCACCACGACTGGAAAGCTTGACACCAGATTCAAGGCATCCTTTAAAAGGCAAGGGGCCTGCGGGGGGTTTTATGACAGGAAGAACCATTTGTTCAGATCCTAAACTTGCACTGCTATTCAGAGAAAATGTTTCTGGCCTTGCATCCAAATTATTAGGAGTGATATTTGGATTGGAACCAATTTGCATGGCAGGTGGAATCATTGAAGCCATTGGTCGTCGCGTTAGTAGCTGTGACTCCTGATAATTTAGGGCAAAACCGTGAGAGGATCTCTCTTTTCTTTGGCAACAGCATGGCTGATCATCATTTTTAAAAATGAGAGGTCTATTTTCAAAACATATCCTATGGACTCTAAATTTCTCTCCTTCAAAAGTTCTTTCTAGTCCTGCACTTGTCTGTGGAACCACAGCACAATTCTCAAATAAGGGCTCAGACTTTGCAATACAGTAGCCACACCTGTCCTTTTCTAGAGCTGCAGGAGCAACAACAAATGCTAAATGTTCTGCATACTTCAAATCTGACCTAGCTTCCACAGAATTAGAGATTATTGACACTGCAGATATGGGTGAATCGGATGACTCCCCATCTACAAAATCAAGCTGATCTTGAGAGGATTGAATCCTGCTGGTGGTCAATGATGAATTCCCTTGAAAATCATCGGAGCCCATATCCCTAGGACTAGGCAAAAATGAGCCCGGTGGACCAGGAATAGGTATAGGATCAACCTCAGGAAAAGATTTCCCTTGTGCTTCATCAGAATCCAGTTCTTCTCTGGTAGTAGCAGTTTGTCCAATTATACCATGGCCAACTTCAGCACAAAACATGTTTGATTTATCAACAAGACTTGGCCCACTACGGTCATCCAGTCCTTCATCCCCACACAAAGGCCCATCTTGATCTTCATTAGACTCTGAAGAATTGGATCTATTCTTGGAAAGATTACTCAGTTTGTTAAACTTGGTTTCTACTGACTGACTCAAATTAGTAACCCTCTCCTCAACAGTTTCCAAACCATCAAATTTATCCAGAATATCCTCACTGTCTCTTGCAGAAGAATCCGTGTTCTCCCTCTCATCATGATCATAACAGTGAGGTGCCAATTGTATGCTCTTCAAAGCCATTGTTTCCTCCCTTTGGGAAATACTTCTTCTTCCTCTTTGTTCTCCGGCTCCCTGGACACTGCTGCCACCAAATGACAGTTCTTCAGTAATCTCTTTCCCCACACATTGCTTTTTAGTAACATCATGCACCAAGTCACATTCTTGATAGGCCTCCGGACCCCAGGCCACTGCCTCCTCATCTATTTCTGCCATAAAATCCAACTGACTCTCCCTTGTTGAATATTTCTTAACCAAGTTAGACCTAGACTCAACCACGGATGACCTGCTGCTAGCAGACAGCACATTTTTCTTTGGTGAGGAAAATCTAAAGCATTTGGATGTAAAAGAATGATGACTAAAAGTTGGAGTAGCAGTTGCAGGAGTATCAGGATTACTATTTGCATCAATATCAACCATCTTTTTGCGCAATGAAGATGTGCAATTTCCACTTGAGTTTAGAGATCTCACCCTATGATCCTCATCTAGATGGAGATTGTCTTTGCTGAACTGATTTGCATTTTGCTTAAGTGGGTGAAAAGACCTCTCCACCTTGCTACGGAGTCTGGCTCCAAATAAAGGACTCCTTACTCTCTTTCTTCCCAAAGAACGCTCCCTCTTATTAATAACTGGAGCTTCATAAACAGGCTTCTCTACCCTCTCACATGTCTCAGGAGAAGAAATAGGATTTTCAGATGAATTTTTAAACATGCGAACACAATTTCTCTCCACAACATGATCAACTTGATGCGATTGTTCACTCTGAACCCACAAGTCTTGAGTAACATGCCGTTTACAAATCAAAGGTCGATGTCTATCTTGATTATTAGGCTTCCTTAAAAGACCTGCTTGTTTAGAGCAAACCCTATCCCTAAACCTTATAGAATCACTGGATTTGATTTTTTTTGGCACATGTGGTCCCTTACTCTTGCAGCTTTCTTCTATTCCACAACACCCTTCTTCTTCTTGAGCTCCAACAATCTATTTAAGAAGAGTATGCAACTATATGGGTTACCAACACTAAGTTCTTCAATTACAAAACTTGCATCAAAGATGAAAAGTTAAATTTTGTTTAGCTCAAGAAAACATTTTTCTTTTATATTCTATTATTCTGGCTGCTAAGTGGACACCACCGTCACTGCAAAACTTACAATCACAAACTAAAAAAACATGGAGAGAATACTGCAACGAATGGCATATAAGGCTGTTTAATTTTCACTTTAAAAATATTTTTGTTTTCTAGGCATTTAGCAAGATAACCCAATCAGCTAGGTAAACAACAAATATGTGCTGAAAATTTTTCTTTCTGAAGATTTCATCAAAAGCATCTAAGAACAGAAATATGAAACAATCTGGTAAGACACGTATAAAAAAAAGAAAGAGACATACCGTTGAAGAACGAGTCTTCTGTGAGAAAAATTTTCTACTTTGAGGAGCAAGTTTAAGATACTTGTGATGTTTTGGGGCATGGCACCTTTTCTTTTTGGTTGAAAAGAATTTGCTTCCTTTACCTCCTTTCAAAGATTTGTGCTGTTCAACAACATCTCCAACTTTTGACACTTGTGGCACGTCATTAAACTTAGATAAAATCCGAAGTTTGGTACCATTGGCATCAATATAAACAGCGCCTACATCACCATCATCCTCAGGATTAATTGGGGAAACTCTTTGCTTTTTCCCTTCAACATATTTTTCAACCCTCTCAGAATCCTGTCTAGGAGGAATGTTTGATGCAGTGGCCCAGCTTGTACCATTCCTCCGGTCAAGTTCTTCTAATGTGCACGGTTTGGCAGTAGCATATACATCCACCATCAGTCTCGTCTTTCTTGGCTTAATTCTATGCCTGGAAAGATTAGAATCCACTGTCCATTTGGGAGTTGACTCAACAGAAAGGCACTGATCGATGTGAGCATTCAAGGTGGTATTCGAAGAGGACGAAAAAGTTTTACAAACAGGACAAACTTTTGAAGCCATGGATTCTGATACCATGGTACAATTCGGAGCAATATCTTCAGTCGAGCAACGATCAGAATGGGCACCAAATTTCACTATTACTCTGCACTTCTTGCCTGAGGGTCGGGTAGTGTTTTCAGTCTTTTGGGACTTAAAAATGCCAGATGCTTGAACTTCGGCTGATGCTTCCACTGACGTATTGGATTCGATTGGTAAGTTGGACTGCTTGTTAATGAGAACCGAGTCTATTTCAGGTTGAGAAACACTTGTTGTTGTGAAGGGTAAATCATTTTCATGTTCTCCTCCGGATCTGCACGAGCTATTGTCTATGCAAGCACCTGCTAGGTTATGGTGTGAGTGAGCATCATCTGATGACTCTAGTACCACATGATGGTTCGAGCCAGATACTTCTTCATCGACTTTCCTTGCATTTTGCTTCTCAAATGGATTGGTTTCAATCGCACATCTCTCTATGAATTGGTTTCTTACTGTATCAAAAGGCTGAAAAGGTGGCAATGGATCCTTCAAGCCATGCTTCAAACAAAGTCGCAAATTTTTTTGAGAAAACGGCCAACTCTTCTTGATATCCTTGCTCCGGGCATTGAACACATAATCTCTACAGTACAAGATGTTCTCTGTCGTTAGAAACTAGGATAAATTATAAACAATTTAATAATAAAAGAAGTAATAACTCATCCAAGAGCTTTCTTGGGGGAACCAGAGGTTGAAATTCAGAAGACCCCGATATTATATGCTAAATCAGGAAGGAGGGGACACATCAGTAAAGAAACAGCCAAGAAAAACAAGACCTAAGATTCAGTGATCTATTAAACTGGATCCCAGAAGGGAAAAAAAAAAAAAAACTTCACAGCAGTTTGTTCCAAGAGAAAATCCCATGTACAAAGTGAGGTGAAATGAAAAAGACACAATCAAGAAATAGGAGCCAAGTACAAGTTGACTAAACATCATCTTATGGCTGGAGGAATTAAGAGTCGTGAACGAGTTCATGAGCCAAAGAGCATAATAGGGACAAGATTGGGGGTGTGTCAATAGTTAGGCCCCATGTTGAACTGAACCACCAGGCAACATCAAACTCTGGATCTGACCCAACAAAAGTCTTAAGATGAGATCAAAGAGAAGCTGTTAGAACGCCATGAAAAAAGGCAACAAAGTTACTATTCATTCTGAACCTTAAGAGAAAGCAATATAGAGGAAATCAAATTAAATCACCTTATGGAGAATTTGGGGAGTGGGGTATGATGATGCTGGTTATGATTACTATCAAGTGATGGCTGCTTTAGCAGATCTAGCTCACGCAAGGGAAGCTTATGAGGAGGTCTCTCAATTTCATCACTACCACTTTTCAGCTGCAGAAATTGGCAAGGACATGGGGGATCTGGTGGAGGGTTTTCAACGGATAACATCTGATGAAAAGCTTCTCTCTTCTTGTGCTGTTTTTACAACAGTCACAAGCACACTGATACTGATTCTATCTCCAGCACTGCCCCTTATCTTCAGCATAACACTACCCCTCTCTCTCTTCCTCTTTGCCTGTCTCTTATTTCTCTCTTTTAGCAGTTCCGATAACCCCAAACCTCCAAACAAAGCAGCAGCCGCGGCTATCAGTATTCACAAAGATCAAAAACCCCCACTCGAAAGTTCATCTGTTTAGCCTGCAATAGAGAGGAGAAGAAAGATGAGATCATGAGTTTCTAGGAAGACCCACAAGAATAAGGCACTCGGAGATTCTAGAGCAGCCCAAAACGTTATTTTATGTGAAGGTAAGAGTGAATACGAAGCATAACAAGCAAAGAACATAACCGGCAAGGAAAGATGTTGCTCAACAAAGTCCAAAGTTCATGATGAGCGTTATTTTATGTGGGCGAACCCAGAAAAAAAGCAACATCATCCACTACCAAAGTCTCAAGAAATGATCAAATCACATAAAAAAGGAAGATAATAAGATAAGAAAGAATAAAGGCAAGAGTACTATATAAATGGGAAAATCTGAAGCTGAGCAAAGGAAATGGACACAGTGAACTGGATATATAGTTGAGAATTCAGACAAAAAAAAAAAACCCAAATCTCAAACAGTTGAATCAGACCATGGGTTAGATTCTCCTTCTCCTTCTCCTTCTCCTTCTCAAATAGTTGGAGGAAGCCAGAAGCTCAAAAGACAAAGAGAGTTTCAACGTTCAACACAAGTGAAAAGGATCAAGTCCAACAAGAGACACAGGAGAAAAGATGGATGCTTTGAACAACAGCAGATGGAGTAGATGTAGAGAAGATCCAGAATGAAGGAGGTAGAAGAGAAGATGAGGGCACACAAACCTTGGGAATTTGAGTTGCAGTTTTCAAAGAGAGTTTTTGAGGAGAAAATGAGAGAAAGGAGGTGTTTTTTAGTACTGTTTAAGCTTTGAGAGAGAGAGAGAGAGAGATGAGAAGGTGAGAAAAACAGCACCACCCACTCACACATCAAAAAGGGCATCAGGTTCTGTCCACAAAAAAGCAAGTTTGTACCAACATTCACCGTGATTCAACCCCCCGTCTGTGAATATGCGCTTCACAATTGACTAATTTATTGAATTATAACAAAATATTTAATTTCATATTTAAAATTTAAAATTATTTAATATCATATTTAAAATATAAATTTATTAATTAATATATATTTAAAATATTATTTTCAATCATATATTATTATTTAAAATTAATTATAATAAAAATAAATATCATATTAATTAATAAATTTATAATTTAAATATTATATTAAATATATTTAAAATTTTAAATATTAAAGCTTAATTTAAAGTTACAGTTACAAACAATTTTTACATCCAAAAATTATTTTTGACTCAATTTAATTTTAAATAACAAAATAAATTGATATTTCATATAAAAATTGTGGTTTTACAACCTAAAATAAAAAATTAATCAATATTTCAATTAATATTTTTAAGATAAAAATCAATTACATTATCTTAAAATTTTAATATTTTATTAATACATATTTTTAAATATTTTAATTATTCAAAATATATTTTTAAAATTTTTAACCATATTTTTTAAACACATTTTTCAAACTTAAAATGTTTTTCTTCCGATGGCTATAGCAATGCTAAACTAACCATATTTTACTATATTTTAAAAGTAATTTGCAAAATTAAACCTTTAAGAATTAAAAAAAAAAAAAGACAAAGCAAAGAAAAAGAAAGCAAGAGAGTGAGTTTTGTTTGTTTTTTGTTATTGCAAAATACACAAAGCTGTCCTATCCTGTACCTACCCTACAACCCCTTCATTTCCTTCCTTTGTTTATTCTTGATTTTTTTCAATCCCTTGATGAAATGTCAGTTTTAGTCTCCTTCTTATCTGCAAATCCCACCCCATGTCGTCTGCTACACGACAAACCCTCCCTGTTTTCACAATTATATGCATCACCATCCAATATCTAACATCCTGGAAAAATCAAATTTTTACCCTCCAATCAAATTCCCCTTTCCCATTTGATTTCTTTGCCATACCCTATAATTGAAGACACTGTGCATCCTCTGCTCTTCCTGCTGGGTTTTTGCTCAGGTTTGTTTACTAATTACTAGTGAAATTTTCATTGATTTTCCTTTTGGTTTTTTTCACAAAATTTATATATTTATATTATATTTTATATAAAAATTATATATCATAATTTATATCAATATTAAAATAAAAAATAATTTTTTTGATTTTATTAAATTAATACATTATTAATAAAATTTAAAATTATATTGTTTTTATATTTTGTATTTATATTATATTTTAGATTTTTAAATCTAATTAGGAGGCCCAACAAAAAATTATAAAATGGAAAGCTTTTACTAAGTATGGACAAGTCTCAATCCTCTGATTTATTATTGCATGATTGACCTACAATCACTCCGTCTAGTATTTCTTTGCTGTACCGCTTCCAGTTTCCTTAATATCTGCTCCGCTCCTAGGGGCATATAACATTATAACAAGCTTCTGTCTGTCTTTTTTCGTCGGAATGATTACAAAATTGGTTAGTAGTAGTACTCTAAAAAATTAAAAGTCAATTTTGTAATCAATTTTTAAAAAAATATAATCAAATTGATCGATTTATTTTTAATAATCGAAAATATACATCATCGATCAATTCAGTCAAAAAATCGATTTTTTTTTATCATTTATTTGTAATCAATTTTGAAAATTAATTTTATGATAATTTTTTCTTAATAAAATTGATCTTATAATTTTGTTACTAATGTCATATTTATTATTTTTAAAAATAAAAATAAAATTATTATATATATTTATATTATATAATATATTTTAAAATATATTAAAAAAATTAATTAATTCAATTGTTAATTTTTAAAATTAATAATAAACTAAATTAATCGATTAAATCAATTTATTTAACAACAATTATCGAAACTAAACTAATCAAATTGACCCGACCATATTCAATTGATTTTGATCAATTAAATTGGTTTGAATTGAAACACCCTCTACTTTGATGTAAAGAGCTACTACATAAGGCAAATATTGAGATTAACATAACATATCCTAATTAAAGCTGGATTTTGAGTAAAATAAAGAAACAATTACCTGTGGCATTGTCAGAAAAATTTTCAGTGGGATTATATATATATACCAATTCCAATTACATAAACATGAAGTTTTATATATTATTAAAAAAACTTTTATGTTAAATCCAAAAATTATATATTATTTTATTATCTTGAAAAAAAAAAAAAACCTATAGTAAGATATTATCTTGCACGTATGATACGATGCTTGATAATAATTTTGAACGAATAAAACTAAAATAGTAATAATAAAATGTAGAATTTAATACCAAAAAATATATATATTATGAATATATTAAAATGATATTAAACAATTATATTTGAATGTATCTCATATCACTTTTTAATAAAATATGCTTATTTTGTATGATCCTATTCATACAAATATAAATATGAACCTTTTATAAATTTTTTTTATGTATAATTTATTATCATCATAAAATAGATAAAAATTTTACATATTTAAGCACACTCTTTTAGATTTTTAGGTGTTTTAATGAGTGCATCATGTAGATATGAACATGATCATGTATTCATGTTATTCACCAACTACAAAGCCGAACATGGATGTGATGATGATATGAACATGATCATGAATTCATAATCATCCTATATGCATGCATTTGTACATGAAATGATTTTTGTTTTTTTTTAGGTTGAGAGCTCCAGTCTGTTCCTCTCTTCTCTAACTTTCATAATCCCTGTTATCAAAGCAATCTGATGAATTCCGATGCCAATCAGTAGCATTTTTTTTATTAATGGAATATTTCTCAAGGTCGGGCTACTTGATGTAAATACGAGCCTATTTGTACCATGTTATTTTCTTCAACTCTTAAACTCTTTGTTATTGAGTTTTCCTATATATTATATTATATTATATATTATTATTTTTAAATTTTTAAATACAAATTATATTTTATTAATTAACTTACTATTAGTATTAATTCGATCTCAATTAATTTCATAATCAAAATACTCAAAATTGAATTGGTTGGGTTATCTTTTTTATTTTTAGTAATTGAACTAAATTTTTGTAATTTCAAAAAGGCTAATTGATTGAATTTAACTCGAAAATTCAATCAGTTTTTTTTGTTTAATCAAATTATAACAAGCATACAAGTTAAAGTCTTAGTTGCTCACAAGTCAAATAAAAATAATTAAACTCATCATATATATATATATATATATTCAAATACTAAAACATATCTATATATAAGAACTCTAATAACATAAAATTTAAACATCATTCAAAAATTAAAAATATAATGTTTCATAAATCATAATCATGATCCAAAGGATCATGTTCTCCATGCTTTATTTTCCGGTTGAAGTTAAAAGATGTGAATATCTTTAATTTTTTTGTTATTATTTTTTTTTAATTTTTTAGTAATTTTATTAATGAAATTGATGTCACTTTGACTTGTGATATCAAACTCAATTAATCTTATTTTTTTTATACTTAAATTGTCATAGATTAAACTTTAGTCAATGAAACTAATAGTTTAAAAATCTATCAGCAGATTTCAAAACTATCAACCTTAGATAAAGATCATTATAGATACACAAATAGTCTAATCATTACTCCTTAATAACTTATTTAATTAAAAAAAAACATTTTTTCATCAATGTGTATATATAAATACTAACTAGTTGTATTTTTTTTAGCTTTAAAAGGACTATCATTGTTGTTGATGTATCGGTATTGATATGTTTTGAATAACTAATATATGCTACTAATGGTTTACTATTAGTTGTTTACTTTTTGGTGCCGAGCTGCTTTGGTTGGCAGTGATAATTTGGGATTGAATGTCGGCTAGGTTGGTCTGTTGAGAATTGGAGAGGGCAAGGAATATCTATTTTAATGCATAAAGAATTGAGCTCGCACTTGAGTTTGATACAGCCAGCCAGCAGCCGTTGTGATTTGTGTTGGATTGCAGTAAACTTAACATATTGTAATTTATTAGCAGCTTTTGTAGTTGTTAGAGTTTACAATCTTTGTTGTTTCGTAGTACTACTTTTCAAAATATATACCCCAAAACTCAAAATGACAAAAGTATATTTTGAATGTAAGTCCAAACATTTGTGGAGTAATAAAAAATGTTTGTCCTCTTTCATAGTGGCACTGACAACAAAGAGCAAAGATTGAGCAGTTCCTCGCTGGTGGTTGATTGGGCTGCTAGTTTTAAGCTTCCATTATTCCCTTCCCTTTGTCTCTGTTCAGAACAATTACTTTGTTAAAAATATGTCTGTAATGCAGAATGTTCAGAATGTGTGTGTGATTCATGGTGCATAACATGCTTACTCTGTCTTTGGTTTCTTTGCAGGTGATTCTTCTGAAAATAGTTCTTTTTGAACTTGGCTATTAAATGGTGATGATGGTAGTTCCAGTTCAGTATTCTTGGTTGGTGTAGATTTTGGGGCTGGCAGAAGTGATGTGTTAGACAGGGCTTGGGCAATTGACGGCACAGAAGAGGATTGAGCTTGTTGGATGGTAAGTCTCCTTTTTCTGTTATTATCACAATCAAAGAGTTTGAAACTCGTTATTTTTCTTTCCAGGGCTTTAGAGGTCAGGCCAATTGTGGGGTTTCTTTCAGTGTTCTTTGAAGCCTGGATAGGTGCTAGCAGAATCATCTTGTTGAACCCTTTCAGGCCTTGTAGCTCTGATATAGTAGCTCCAATTAGCTTCTCAGCTTCTGCTGCAAAGGACAGGATCTTTATCTTCCTGTGGCATCTTTTGTGGACAATTCCAGAACAATGCTACAATACAGTATACAGAATGATGTTAAGAAGTGGGTGCATGCAAGCTTGGTTTATCGAGTTTATCAGGAATAGACTTACATAAACAGTGGGATTTTCTCGTGATATTAAGTGCAACAAATTTCCCAGCACAGAAGAGAAAACCAGCAGTGCATTGGTTGCATGGGAACAGTGTTCTATTGAAAGTAAATGGCCATTTCTTGTTTTTAACTATGAGTACAATCCTAGGTATAACAACTTTGTTATTAGCAGAAACACCCAACAAAATCTTCCTTTTAATGTTATTTGGAGCTAATTCCGTGATCAATAATCTTGTTCCATTTCATAGGCCGGAACATTAGCTTATATTTCTGAGCAACATGATTATAGAACCTATTTTAAGGTCAAGTTTGGGGTTAGGAATACCAGGGAACTCCAGGGAGTTCCGAAATTCAACTGGATATAACAATTCCTGAACCGTTCGACCGTTAAAAACTGGTGAAATTTTGCCGATAGTATAATAGGTTTTGCACTCCCCTGGAATCAGATCAAGCACATAAGAATTGATTGTTTCCAGTCTCATTTATAAGGAGTGACAATTGCTCTCTACTTAAGATAATCAATCTTAGAAAAATTATCCAGCAATTTAGCATAAACAGTTGAAACAATCGCGTGTATTGGATCATCAGAGAATGAAAGCAGTACATCTACAAATATTTTGATCCATGAAGGGTTTTCGTGATCATTATGGCTCAGAGCTTGAATATTGCCATCACCAATGTCTAACAGCCATTGTGCAAAGGTTGCGATTTCAAATCGGTCTTGTGCATCTAAGTTAGCTTGGAGTAATCTCGTATTTGTCTTGATATGGAAGACCGTGCATTCAGTCCATAGAGTTGACTGGTTTATTGAGGTCGAAAAAGAAAAAAAAAGAAAAGCTTGAACCAAAGGCAAAAAAAAAAAGAAGAAAGAGAGGGAAAGAAAATAGCTGCAGTAGGGAAGGGGTAAAAAATGGAAACATGTATGACATGTGGCATGATCAAAACAAGTTCGGAGAGAGTCAACGTTTGTAGAATTTATATATTGGATATGGCATGAATAGAAATTTAATGAGAGCCACGGAATGGTTGACTTAAGTGCTAGTGATAATGTATTTTTTAAATTATTATTTGGGTTTGAATTTTTTTAAAAATTATAAAAAATTTAAATTTTTTTATAAATTTATTAAATTTAACGTAAATAAATTTATTTGGATCGATTAAAAAAAAGAGGTATTATAAAAAATTCAAGAACCTCTTACTGTTAAATAAAAAAAATTTATATGGAAAATTAAGAATTACTATTCCAAACGAAAGGAAATATGATAATAATTTTTATATCAATTTTACTTTCATTTTAAGGAATCAAACATAATTTATTTTATTTTTCATATTTTCTATTTTTTTGTTTTCTTTTATTTTCATTCCTCTATTTTAATTTATTTTATTTTTTCAACTGTTTTTCTAAAAGCAATGCCAAAAAATCGAGTAGTGCAGATAAATTAAAAAACAAAAAAAAGAAAACGACAATAACACAGCCACATGGATCATGGGCAGACAGTTTGACGTCAACCTCATTGGATCCCTTGTACGCTTCAGTCTTTCAAATTCCTCCTTACTGTGAGTTGTGACGCCATCGCCAAGCTTATCTTATGTTTATTAAGGTTTAACAATTAATGGGTTGCTTTGTACTTGAACGATCGAAAATGGGTTTCGTTTTCCAGCAGTAGAGTTGCAGTGCACCATTTCATACCCTTTAGGAGTCTTTTGTTAATTCGGAATATGTTGCGGCACTTGCACAAACCCAACGTTGAAATCCAGCACCTAACGAAATTATTTCTCGTTTATGAATTAGTTTTTTACTCGTATCTTGTAAAATTATTTGCAATTAATATATTCATGTAATATAAAATTATACATCATAATTCATATTCACAAAAAAAAAAAAAAAAAAAAACACAACCACTTGAGCTCTATACTCCAAAACCTTGAAATTTTCCCGCGTAAACATTCCAGAATTTTACGTGTAATTATCACTGTCCATCTAAGCTTAGTACGACTTGCCAAGAAAGCATCATTGCTCATCAGAAATAGTAACGAGGGCTCTGACAAATGACATGTAGTCATTATATATAACAACCCTCTCAAAATTGATCTCAATCTGGATAATCCTCAAGTTTCTTTTTCAAAATATTACCAATATATATATATAGGCAAAATAGACCTTAAGTTGATTACTTTGATATCATTCTACATCTCAGTCCAGTTGAAGCAAAAAAGTACAAGAAAGATACTATAGAAATCAACATGATGAACTTTCCTTTTGTGAAATGATGCGGTGCAACAGCCAAATGCGAGAAAAGCAATCATCCTCTCTCAAATTCCTATCAGCAGGAAAGATATACAAACATCATTTATGAAAAGCAAGTTGCAAATTGGATGGAACTAACACTAGTGTGAGAAAGGAACCTTGGTGACTAATGTTAACATTCTGAGCAGTATTTCATCACACATTTAGACCGATTGTAGAATCAGAAGGGCTTTCTATAATCTTGTGCTGGTGGTTGCTCCCAGGTTGGCAAAAAGCCTGTAACAAATCATCAATAGCTTCTCAGGATTGACAAATGAATGGGTTGGAAAAGATGAAAGAGAATTCATAGCAGAACCATATTTATGGAAAAGCATATGCTAATGGAACCAGAAATTTTAACTTATTATTACCAATAATAAGTAAGAACCTAGCTATAGGCATTATATTAAAATGCAACACGTAATTAAGAATGATAGTTTTAAGCATGATTTTTTTGGACTATCAGAAGGCAAAAAAAGTCCCAAGCGAAAGAAAATCGCGGAAAAGTTTTTCGCCTAGTGGAATTTAACCCAAACTACAATGGTATTTGCGTATACAAGTTTGCAGCTATTCCGGGATGTTCTTAATCTCAGAAATCAGTATCCACAAGCTAAAATGAAAGCCCCCTATGGGAGGTCAGGTAACTTTCCCCACCACACATCTTAGCACCTGATTTACATGAAATGGAAAAGAAAATTCAAAATTAGCATAACCATAGGGTCATTGCAAAATCCTGGTGTTTGAAAATCATTACTTGTCTCTCTCTATATACGTTCAGATTGACAGAGGAAAATGGAGAGGTAGAGAAGTGACTACAGGAGAGACAAGAAAGACTTAACTATTCCTTGAAAATCTATTTAGTTTTCTTTTCCAAATCAAACCTACAGAAAAAAAAAATGGATCTAATTAGTCACTGATTTATCAATTAACAATAATTTTCTAATTTTCCCTTAACCTTCTTTTCCATCAATGAACCAAACCTGAGATTCTAGCTCTTCCTTTCTCAGCCATCCTACAGTTGTTTCCTTTATGAAGTGTCAATCTTATTCTTGCTAATCTTTTCCATCTGGAACTGCTAAATAAACTATCTAGCATCTAGGCCATTTGCTTGCACATGCAAGAAGTTTCATAATCCTTATCTTTGCTGGATAATAATTCTTTCAATGCATGAAATGCAAAAAGATATTTTTTCCTTCATGCTTCCATTAGCTCAAACAAGCTGGCTCTATAAGCAATCTATTGATTTCTTTCAACATGTATTCTCAAGGATCATGTAAGCTAGGGCTAATTTGGTGGCAAATACCAACTTTTTCCCCAGTACCAAATGCAGTATACGAAATGGTGGCAGTCAAAAGTGGAAAACTTAAATTAAAAGTAAATTCTCCAAATTATTTTAAAATGCCTAAAAAAGAAAGCAGTTTCCTCGCACTTCCCTTTTTTTCCTTTAACAACAGCCGTCAAACATATTTCATGTTTCTGCAATATTCAATTGATGCAAGAATGTACAACGTATTAATTTCAAGTCCAGCCAAGCATCAGATCAGACAGATCAACTACAGATTAGAATTACACGGAAGCAAACCATAAAAATAAATAGGAGGCATACTTAATGGTATTTCCCCCAGGGACATATATATGGAGTCGTCATCTGCAAGAGTTCCCTGAAACAAACAAATAAAAGGCAACAAATTAGTCATCAAGCAAATACTTAAACTATTCAACTGAAAATCATTAGTATAGCTATTTAAAAAATAATAATAATAATCACCAATTCAATATCATGTTTTAAGAAACTTAACTTTTAGGAACCCTTAAAATTCCAGGTGTATATAACATAAAGATTTGTACACAGAATGGATATCCTACTCACAGCAATTAGTGTTGTACCTCTCCATTATGAAGGCCCATCCCACTCTGAAGAGGATTGATGTCCTCGGTCTGCAGAGTATTAATGTTTTCATTTTGCAGAGAGTGAGGATTAATATCCTCTGGAGGGCAATTGGAAAAATTTCTGAGGAACTCTGTGATCATAAGCCCATCATAATGATCCGGTACATCAGTCATATCACCATTCATACTCGCAAACATTGGTTCACTCCTACATGATAAACAAGTCAAATTCAAGATGAAGGCGGGGGCCTAGAGGAATTAACTACTGCATGACGCACTTTGCACTTGGTACAAAGGGGGGAAAAACAGAAAACCAAGTTGCGAAGATTATTTCATCACTCTTTCTATTCAGAAGAAGAAAAGATGAGCAGAATTATGAACAACACATACTGATTAAGGAAACTTACTTTCTCTCCAAATTATCAACAGCCTTGTCTTCTTGAGTAGAATCATTCTCTAGATCAATTACTTCAATCTCCTTACAGTTACTTGTATGCCTACAGCGTCCGCCAGAATTGTTGGAATTACTCATTGACAAATCTATATCAATTGTTGCTGTTTCATTTTTGGCTTCTGAAGCAGTGGAGTAAATAATAATTGGATCATTATGATGATTTTCATTTATATCAGAAGCTTCCATCAGGTTGAGGTCACAAATCTTGAAAGCATTTGGAAAAAGCAACTTTTCTTGTGCATAATTGACACTTGATTCACCATCTCCATCTGGAAATTGAGAATTAGTAACCAAGCTGTCTTGAATCTCTTTATCAACAGCCACACCGACTTTCTCAGAAGTTGAAGCTGTCCCTTCTATTGAACCTTCTTTCTTGTCACCAGAATCAGAAAAGGGCAAGAACTCAGCCTCGGTAGACAAAGGCTGAAGCCATTCTCTTGGTTTTTTGGCTCCCTCCCTAATATCACTCCACTCCAAACTTCGTTTTTCACTTCTCTCTTTAACCACAACCATAGAGCTGGATCTTTGGAGACCAGGCATCCCATGAATCTGTTCCTGCTCATTGTCTTGCAAAAGGGCTCTATCAGGGAGAGACTGAGACCTTGTACACTTACCCTGCTCAACACCATAAATATGATCCAAGTCCCCCACATCGCCAAAAGAATGGACAGACAAATCTTTAGAAAGTTCAGAATCAGGGCATTTTGAATCCTGACTTTTATTTAACAGCATATCACCAGAGGAACCTAAAGGAGAATTGTCTTCAAGTAAGACTTGAGGACCACTGGGAGTTCCAATATCAGAAACACTTTCATGTTCATTCATTGAAACTGAGTCAGCCTTTAAGTTCTTCAATGTCAATGAAGAACGTGTTTTTGTAGGCACCTTGGCAAATTTGCAGAGTGCCAATAAATCTGCACTAGTCTTGCCCAAGAGATCATCCTCTGTAGAAGAACGCTGGTAGGATAAATCCTTCATGGTACCCTCCTCTTCAGTTTCATCATTATTGCAGCCATTCTTCAGCTCTCCAGCTTCTGTACTAAAATTTGTTGAACCATCCGATCTCTTCAAGAGTTCTCCATTAGTCACCAAATTTAGATCTTTCCCAGTACCCGAAGAACTAGCCTTTAAGCCCATTTCATCCTGTAGTTTGTACTTACCAGCAAATTCTGAGTTATCTAATTCCTCACTTTTTGGTGCAAACTCGCTTGAAACAGGCTTCTGCAATCCATTACCAACATCTTTACCTATTTGTGCTTCTTCGTGATGTCCAGAAACATTATCGTCGTCAATCTCCAAATCAGAAGAAACCCTTACTCTATCTGACCATGACACGCTTCTCCCATATTCTCGACCCCAATCGGAGCTATAACTTCGATAAGATCCCTCTTTCCTTTTTCCTTTAGCAAGATTTCTTGACCCTGTCGAGTTATAATCATCAAGGTACCTCCTCCTGCCTAAACCCAAATCAGAGGTAGCATGTCCCAGACGAGCAAGAGCTGACGTTCGGCCATCGGGGTTAAGATGCAAGTTATCAGCCTCTTGTGACCTATAATTCTGCCATTTGGCAGGTATCACACTGGAGGGCAACAATCCCTGAGAGACCAAATATTCCGCAGCAAGACGGCCGGCTTCCATAAATATGTCAGTGCCTTTGCGTGGATATGATTGAAACGATTTTGGGTGACTCTGGACACGCCCAAAACCACGCTTGAAGTTGCGATACTCTGAATTGTAAAAGCCCTGGCCTCTACCGAAAGTTTCAGGGGATATCCGTGTGGCGGCAACCCCCATCCCCATAGAACTAGACCTATAGCCATTCCCAGGACTTCTATGCCTATCATGCATGTTTAGAGGTAGTACGAAATGAAGAGCAAGACTTATCTAAATAGTCAGCTTGTTAAGTGGAAAAGGAGAACAATTTGTGTTGTATTTGCAGGGAATCCAACAACTGGAGATATGATAGTCGAAGGTGCAATCTTGTTTTCAAGAAGATCAAACTTTTGAAGAAGAAGATCGCGCACCTTGGTTTTAGGGTTTCAGATGCAACAAGTATAAAACCTCATCTGCTCGTCCGATCGGATTTTTTGCTTTTGTTTCTGGTTTTGGTATTGGTTTTGGTTTGGTTGTGCGTCAAATTGAGGTTTTTCTTTGTGTGTCAAGCTGAGACTTGGAACAGAACCACACGTCAATGCTTGTGGCACGGCAGCACGCGCCTGTAAAAAGAGAGTCCAAACCCTTTTGCAGTTCTGTTTGGTGAGCGAGTGGAGTTGGGAGCCAAACGGCGCGTACTATTAATAGTTTTCTTATTATTATATATATTAATGGTTGGAACTCGGAAGAAAACAGAATTCCATGAATGAAATGAAAGAGCAATAAAAACTCTTGTTCTCGATATTGCTTGCTTTGCTTCTGATCTCAATTCTCATCTCATCCAAACACAACAATTTTGGTGAGAAAGAGAAAATTATTAAAAGGGTTGGGAATTGGATGGGCAAATAGATAGAAAGAAGCGAGTAAATGACGGGAGGAGGAGAATACGGCGATCAAATATATCTGCTCAGATCCAGCAGCCATAAAGATGAAGAAGGCGATGGTGATGAGGAGGATGTCGAATCTCAGATAAGCGGCAGCAACAACAGCAGCAACAATAACATCGCCTTCAAAGATCTGTTGAAGCATTTGGACAGGGGGTTCTCCCCCAGGCGCCACAGCTTCAAACGACTCGATAGAGACAGAGACAGAGACAGAGACCGCTACTCCCCGCTTTCCCTAGATCACCATCACCACCACCAACACAATCAAGCTTACGTTGTGGATGCCGCTGATCCGTTGGGAGATAGCGCCCCTCCCGAATGGGCCTTGCTGCTTGTCGGCTGCTTGCTTGGAGTCGCCTCCGGTTTCTTTGTGGCCGCTTTCAACAAAGGAGTATGCTTTCGCATTTATTTTCCTTTCTCATTCTCAGATCTCTCAATCCTTTCGACCATTGACTTTAATTCGCTATCCCAAAGCCAAAGGGCTTAATTGATATAGACTTCTGTATAAATTTTATTCAATTCATAGTATATATACGGTCCGTCGTCTTACAATTCTTTGCAATTGCAATTGTAGCTTTATTTTTGTTTGTTATTGACAGCTTTTCTAAAGCGGCAATGAATATGTAAAGTTTTGTTAGGTTTACTGAAAACCATGCTAATTCTTTTCCCCATTTTAATGACTCAAAAATTTCAACCATGCATCCTTCTTTCTTGAATCAAAACTATTTTTTGTACAAAGGAGGCCGCCTCAGCTTACGGATAGATGGAGGGTTTTCTGAGATTTGAATCTCAAATCTGCTTAATGTCATCTCTTAAGAGTGATTACATGAACCAACTGAACTAACCAACTGCCTACATGAATCAAAACTTTGTTTCACCTTTTTCTCTACCAATGTCGTCTCCCTTGTCACTTTTCTTCTTGCTGTGCAAGTGTAAACTGCTTCCACTAAAGGCTTTTATGTTGTAGCTTAAATGGTAAAGTATTTGGCAAAGTAGCCTAGTCCATACATGATAAATGTTTCTCTTGTTCAATATTGCTTCAGTTTTTGTGCTCAAATCGCTTTCTATTTATGTTTGCTATTACTCATCCAGGTTCACGTCATACATGAATGGGCATGGGCTGGGACTCCAAATGAAGGTGCTGCATGGCTTCGTTTACAGAGACTGGCTGATACTTGGCATCGAATTCTTTTGATACCTGTTACTGGAGGGGTCATTGTTGGAATGATGCATGGCTTACTTGAGATATTGAACCAAATAAGGCAATCCAGTTCTTCTCAACAACAAGGCTTTGATTTGGTTGCTGGGGTCTTCCCCACAATAAAGGCTATCCAGGCAGCTGTAACTTTAGGTACTGGTTGTTCTTTGGGTCCTGAAGGCCCCAGTGTAGACATTGGAAAATCATGTGCCAATGGATTCTCATTAATGATGGAAAACAACAGAGAAAGGAAGATTGCTCTTGTGGCAGCTGGAGCTGCATCTGGGATTGCTTCAGGTACACTGGTTGTGTTATTACAACTTTACTAGTTTTGCAGTTTCTAGTTAATGTTTATTTTGCTCAGAATTTTGCTTATTGATGAGAATGCCTTATCACTGTGGCCCTTCACATTAGTCCATGGGCTAATGTGAACACTGTTCTCAAGTTTCCTTTATTTTTTCTTCTTATTGTTAAATTGAACACTGTTCTCAAGTTTAATAGAACAGCTCCAAGTTACACTACCTGCAATGTCAAATTCATTTAACCAGTCGTTTACATATTTTATTCATAAGGTGAACAGACAATATATCACTGCAGAAACTGAAAACTGTACATATCCATTTGATTTTGATATTGTTAGCACAGGTACTGTATTTCTCTAGTCTATTATCTGGAAGAGTTTGGTCCCAGGGGTAGTTAATTATGAATGGCTATGCTCTGGGAGCCAATTAAACAGGAACTAGTTTCTTGACAGTCCAGGGTATCATGTCATTTGAAGGATGACATCACTGAATGATAATGGGCTAGGGTGTGATACAACCAGCTACTGAATTTTCTTTTAGATTATTGTGATTACTGCAAAGGAACTTTTCTTCTCTGGTTTTATTTTAGCAAAGCTCGATTTGAGGACTTTGTATGTGACGTGAAGCCAAGCTGGATTTGAGGACTTGTGTATTGGCCAAGTTATTTTATTTTAGCAAAAGAATCTCTAGTTTGTTTTCTTCCACCCACATCCAACCCCCCATAACTGAATACAGTGCCCTCTTGAGCATGCTAATCCAAATATTTGTAAACTTACTTCCATTTGTAGTTGTGGCTTTGATGGGCATAAGCTTTTAAGTTTCCTTCCTGACCTATTAATTTCATTACGGGGCTATATTTAATATCATTTTAGATTGACTGATGATGTGATTGATTTTTAACTTTCAACTTTTCTCCCATCTTCAGGTTTTAATGCTGCTGTTGCTGGTTGCTTCTTTGCTATTGAAACTGTGTTAAGACCTCTCCGTGCTGAAAACTCACCTCCATTTACAACTGCAATGATAATTTTGGCCTCCGTTATCTCATCTACTGTATCAAATGCTTTACTCGGGACAGAATCAACTTTCACTGTGCCATCATATGATTTGAAATCTGCTGCTGGTATTTCACCTTCCTGAATTTATATCTTTATTTTAGGGATTGTTGTTTGATTCTTGTATATATTTGTGTAAGTTTCATGGTGTGATTACAGCTTCTGATATTTCTTTCTAAAGTAATTTGTTGTTTAATGGTTAGATTGATGAATGTGCTGCTCCATTGATCTGGAATTAAACTGTGGTTATTTGCATGATTAGCAATTTCAGCAACTTTATGTTTTGATTGCATCCCCCCCACCCCCCACATTGCTATTAGAAAATTAAAACATTTAGAGGGCATATTTGCTTTCAAATATTTGACAGTTCGCAGCCAAAATAGTGTGTGATTTCAGTACACATTATCAATTCCAAAGGCATACACTCCTGGCTCTTTGGTTTTTCTACCTGAATAGGTGAAACAAGCTCCATGCAAAGGAAAGATATAATTAGAAATGACTGCTTATAAGGGGAAACGTGACAATCCTTGACAATTTTTATGTAATTTTGCCTTGCAGAGCTACCATTATACCTGATTTTGGGAATGCTCTGTGGTGTTGTAAGTGTAGTCTTCACTCGCCTGGTTTCTTGGTTCACAAAGGCATTTGAGTTTATCAAGGAGAAATTTGGACTTCCTGCTGTAATCTGTCCTGCTTTAGGTGGTTTAGGAGCTGGAATAATAGCTCTTAAGTATCCTGGAATACTATACTGGGGCTTTACAAATGTCAATGAAATCCTACATACTGGGAAGAGCGCATCAGCGCCTGGAATCTGGTTGCTAACCCAACTAGCAGCAGCCAAAGTTGTTGCCACTGCTTTGTGCAAGGGGTCTGGGCTTGTGGGTGGCCTATATGCACCAAGTTTGATGATTGGTGCTGCAGTTGGTGCTGTATTTGGAGGTTCAGCTGCTGAACTTATTAATTCAGCTATTCCAGGAAATGCTGCTGTTGCACAGCCACAAGCATATGCACTGGTAAATTATTTACGGGGAGTTTCTGCAAAAATATCTCTTGAACTTGGCAAAATACCGTTCAATTTTATGTATGATGATTTTAATACATTTAAGCTTCTACTTTAGGTTGGAATGGCTGCCACATTAGCTTCAGTCTGTTCAGTACCCCTAACTTCCGTTCTGCTTCTCTTTGAGCTGACAAGGGATTACAGGATAATACTTCCTCTCATGGTAATTTTGTATGTGATCTTGCTTGCTTTTTAAATTTTCCTTGACAGTAATATCGATAACAGGGGAGTCCTTGAATATACTCTTTTTACTATTTCTTTTTTATAGCCCGCCTAGTTTCTTCTATCAAAACAAAAAAGTGAAAGGGCCTAGTTTAAGTGCAGTCCAACTTCACTGGGATTAAGTCAACATTCAGTTTAGTGACTGACCAAGAATGGAAACATATTATGCACCACAGCCCGTGGTTTGAAAATGAAATCTAAATTATGGCTTTCTTTGTTATTATATTGTTGTGTTACAAGATTTCTGCAATATTTTCCATTTTTTTTTCTATTTCAAGGCTATAGAGCTTTGCTTTATTCTTGAGTAGTTTCTTTGGATGCCATATCTTGGGACATTGTCTAAATATTTCCACCTTATTTTTTCTTTCTTCTTTGTCAATTTGGCATATAGGGGGCTGTTGGATTAGCGATATGGGTTCCTTCTGTGACTAACCAGAACAAGGAGACTGAAGTATCTGACACGAGGAATTTAGCAAGAGGATATTCTTCCCTTTATGCTGCTGAGGAGCTCTCTGTCATGGAAAAGGCTTCTGACCATGAAGCAATAGATGAAGATACGCTTCTCGAAGAACTTAGGGTATAATTTTCTTCTTGTCGTCCAGAAAAGATTTTCAAAATGGTCAAGTTTCTTATTTTACTTGGTTGTTTGAGCTCCTAACTAATATTTCACTTATTCGAAGTTTCTTTCCTGACTTGATGAATTCCGCGTCCTTGCTTGCTGTAGGTTTCTATGGCCATGTCAAAGAAGTATTTAAAGGTGTCAATGGCTGTTACTGTAAAAGAAGCGATGAAATGCATGCATGATAGCCATCAGAATTGTGTGCTTGTGGTTGATGAAGATGATTTTTTGGAGGGGATTCTCACATATGGTGATATTAAACGGTGTCTGTCCAAGAAGCCTACTGATGTCCCGAAGGGTGATTCAGAAGCTCTTGATGTATGTGATTTTAGCCCTCTCTCTCTCTCTCTCTTATGTTTTGAATAAGACATTAAGAAATCTATGCAGGTGAATGCATGCCTTGTTTCCTCTGTCTGCACTCGAGGGATAAGCTACCGTGGGCAAGAGCGTGGACTTTTAACCTGTTATCCGGACACAGAGTTGGCAATTGCCAAGGAGTTGATGGAGGCCAAGGGTATAAAGCAATTGCCAGTGGTGAAACGTGGTGGGGAACCGCACAAAGGAAGGAAGCGAAAAATTGTTGCTCTTCTTCATTACGAATCAATCCGGAACTGTCTCAGGTTCATATTTATGTTCTAATCTGTTATATGATCTTATATACCTCTTTCCTTTGCTGTTTGATGTTCCTTATTAGAGCTGTTGTCTAGATCCTACCGTGGGTTTGCAGTTTTGGTGTCTGAGATTTTATATTAACAATTTATTAGCTATGATTTGATGTTTTTATGTTGTCCATGCAGAGAGGAGATAAATCACAGGAAATCAGTCTATCAGCAAAGGACAGAGAATAACCTGGAGATGGTGAATGTTCATTAATGCAGTGATGCAGCTGATAAGTTTCTCGGCCTGCACTACATATGGCAACCTAGAAGAGAGACCAGGGAAGTTGGTTATGCCTACTCTAGAATTGGGTCTCCAAATCACACATTGAGTCGGTATTACTCCATACCATAGTTTTTGCTGTGCTGATATACCTAAGGATCCTTCATGTAATTTTAGTGAAAGTGCCTTGTAAATGTACTTTTACAGTTATAGTTTAATATAGTTTAAGGGTCAATTATGATATTAATCTTTAGTATATCAGTGGAAAAAGAAAATGCAAGTAGGCAAATCATGTTTTTTTTCAAATCCAGAGATGCAAATGGTGTATTCATTGATGGTTTATCATTTGATGAACTTAATTTTAATATACTGTTAATGTCATAAATGATCCCTAAATTATTATGAACTATTTAATGTGGTATTTAAATTTTAAAAATTTTTAATGTAATTTTTGAATTATAAATTTTGTAATTAATGTGATATTTGAAAAATTGTTTGTTTGTCACATTAAAGATGAGTATCACATTAATTAACAGATTTATAATTTAAGTATTAGATTAAAAATTTTTAAATTCAGATATCACATTAAATATTTTAATATAATTTAAGAGTCAATATTAATCTCTAATTTATCAGTGGAAAAAGAAAATGCAAATAGGCAAATCATATTTTTTTTTTAATCCAGAGATGCAAATGGTGTATTCATTGATGGTTTATCATTTGATGAACTTAATTTGTAAGAATCTCTTCGGTACAATTAATTTGTGAGATGTAAACGGAGCCTTTGACACGAAAGGCTCATGTTCACATCTTGACCTAACAAATGTTGGTCTTTGGTAATTGTTTGAATTCTGTTTTTTTTTTTAATTTGAAATTATCGAGGCCTTTGATTACAAAGATACAATCTTTTGTTTTTGATTTTAAAATAGTAAAAATGTGAACTTTAATCATTAAAATAAAAAATTATGTGAAAATAATGCCAATGCTACATCCTTCCCCTTCTTTTACTGGAAATAAAGGGATCCAAAATTAGCTTAAAGTACAGTTTGCACATTTGCAACAAAGGGGTAATGATAGTTGATCACCATGACATGTGAATCGGCATTTTAAGGGTAAGCTAACTTACACATTAAATTCATAGTGCAGAACGAAAGGATCTTGTTAAAACCTGTATGCTATGCCATTCAGACAGGATTGATGTTAGTTTGGGATAAAGGATTTCGGCGTTTGATTATTGAATCACAATCGTTGGAAGTGAATAAAATTATAGGCACTGTTCGTGCGGAAGACTTTTTTTTTTTTTTGGTTCTTTTTGGTTAAGTAGTAGGTTTAGATCCATGGTAGATGAATTTTGGGTTGGCTGTTCGGGTGATGTGATTCTGCTTATTAGATTTGATCTACAAAAATTTGTAGATATATATTTTTTTCAAATGGGCTTTTTTGCAAACCCACATATCTGAGTTTTTTGTTTTTTTTTTTTTCGTATATTTTAATTAAACGATAAAATGATAATTTTTTACTATTAAACAAAGTAAAATAATAATTTTATATTTGGACAGCGTCAAACTAGTATCCTAATAGGGAATAGTTTTATTATATATAGTATAAATAGATGTTATAAGGTTATAGATCTTGCATATATGTGACTTTCATCATTCGCTACTCCAATCACCGCTTTCCGTGTCAAACACCAACTTATTGTAACAATTTACTAAAGCATCTTTTTCTGGGCTTAGTTTTCTACCATCCTCAACTCAAGTTCGAACTATCAAGTGTTACAGTTCCAAATTTGGTACTATACTCTTCCATATTCTCCGTGCAAGTAGAAATCAAAAGAAATCTCATAACCATTTCAACTTATGTTCAATTCATCAAAAGAATAATAAGGAAGGCCGAGCGATGATGCAAATGCTCATTTATATATTGGAAACATATATGCTTCTACTTTTCTCAGAACAACCGAAAAAGAAATTTTCATGGAGTAAAAAACGGATAATTTACATCTGAGGTCCAAGAGGCAGCCTACTCATAATTTGCTGGTATACTGATGTGTTGTTGGATAGATTCAAACCAGGTTCAGACATTGGCTCCATCTTTGGCTCTCCTTTCGGCAACATGAAACCCATTCCATTAATCTGGGGTTGCTGGGGCATAAATGGATGAACAGGCAGAACCGCCAGCTTGGCTTGGCCGGGGCCCAACCCAGCCATTGCCAAGTTTGCCAGGCCTGGTTGGTTCATTCCAAAAGAGAATCCAGGAGAAGGACCCAGTTGCTGCCTTCCAGGCAGTGTAAATGGACCAAATGACGCAGGTCTAACCATACTGTTGTGAAGTTGTGATGGCTCAGCCCCATGCGCATGAGTTTGGACAGAGGAAGCTGCCTGGGCAGTTACCGTGCTAGAGGTAGCAGAATTGACATGACTGCTACTACGAGCAGCAGGAACATCATGATTGTGCTTTCCTTCATAGGTGGTAATTACTGACTTAAGGTCATGTGATGCTCTCTCTACGTGCTTCCTCACTGTGCAGCCAGCACTAGTGCATTTGTAGTAACTCCTGCATTGAAGCAATAGCAAATGATGTTCTGCATTATTTTGACAGCCGATGGTAGCAAACTGCTCTTTGTATGAAAGAGTAAAAGACAGAGGATATAGAAGATCAAACAATGACTGATTGGAAGGGGGAAAAAACCTTGGATTTGGATTTCCTTTCACTACTTTCTGGCCATACTTACGCCAGCGATATCCATCATCTAGGATGTCCACCTCACTGGTTGTCTGGACCACAACCCTAGGCTCACGAATAGCTCGTGCGGCTCCACTCATTTCGGTTGCATAAGCTTCAATTTTCCTGGTATGAAAAAATCAAAACAATCACATAGTGATTTAAATAGCAATACTATCCAATCATTTTGTCAGATACAAACCTTCTCTTTGACTCAGATTCATCTCCTTCACCATCATAACCTAATGAGACACTGCCATGTGTCACCTGATCATCTTCATCTTCATCATTAGAAAATGTAGATGAGGCATCCACTGCATCACCTGATTCAAAGTAAGTACTATTTGGGGCCTGTCCATTGCCATACTCAGGACCCACAGTTGCAGATGATGTCACCTCAATGTTGTCATGCCTCCAATCATGAGTAACAGCATCTGTTCCCTTCTTTGCAGTTGCCCAAACATGATCACCATCAATACCATTTTGAGGGCCAGTTTGTTCAGGGACTTCTAGTTGCATGTCGATTAGTGGGTTAGATGATCCAATGGCTGTTCGGCGATTGGGTGGAGGCTTGGGATGATTGTGAGCTCCCTTGTATATGATCTCCGTTATGTGACCTTCATGAGAACGCTCCACTTTCTTTTTCACCTGACAAGTTGGATGTGTGCACTTATAATAACTACGAGGATGCTCACTGCCTTTAACTTGTTTTTGTCCATATTTTCTCCAATTATATCCATCCTCAGATGGCGCACCACCAGCCATGCAATCTCCACTGACTCCTTGTTCATCCTGTGGCTCATCAAGAGGCGGTGAATGTTCAGCACTCCCAACAACAGGATCAAAGACCCTTTGATCTGCAAAGTTGTTACTCCCGGTGTCTTTTTTAGTTGATGATCTAGAGAAATCTGCCTCGAGGCTGAGCCCGTTGCTGTTTTGGGGGTGGAGTTTCCCCTTTTCTACATTTTGAGATGGAAAAGAATTCTCAGACTGAACTGAAACCTCTATAATCGGAAAGGACTGCTGAGTAAGACTAGCTGGAGTAATCTGCAGTCAGGAGGAAAATTTAATAGCTATAAAATGAATTTGGTCTACTCATTTGCATTACATAGAAGGTAAACTGATATTAATACTCACTCCATTCCTACTACTTCTAATTCAATTTTAGTAACTTTGAGTATTTAGAATATGAGTAATAATAGAAGTGGGAACAAACGTGAATAAACATTATGTTTAATTATCCAAAAACAAATTCCCACAGCATACTTACTTTGCTCATTGCACCTAGGAGAAAAGAGGAATTTGATTCTGCAACAGGCTTGAATGCAAATGCTGATGCATTGATGTCCTCAAAATAGTTATCTTTACTTTTATCAGGGGACTCTGATATAGAACTCCTACTGATACCATTAGGAATGAATGGGAATTTGCCGGTAGTCGGGGATGGGTGTACCTGCAGTGATACAGATTAATGAGAAATTCGTATGCAACAAACGCCAATAAACAAAAGGAAGCTATTAATCAAATAAATGCCTTTAATGGTAATTAAATTCTAAAGGAGTTTGTTTTCCACTACAGTTGATAGTTGATACCATCTATACTTTGTTCCTAAAAGCTGGAATTATAACTAGATGATATCAAAACTTTCACAATAGTAAACATACCATTGAATTTGAAACAAAAACTGGAGATTCTAGCAGTGTTGTGGGGCTGAGACCTGGAGGTATTGTCAAGTATGGAGAACGAATTTCAGGGTTAAGTGAAAGGTCAGCAGACCTGATGCTTTCAGTATTCAATTTTGGAGCATTAAATCCAGCTCTGGCCGCCATCCTTTCCACCAGACCGCCCCGCGAACTTGATTTTTGCTCAGAAATTGACCCTGATTCATTCAATTGTTCGCAACCTTGGAGAACATCCTTTTTGTCACTATTCTCTGCTATCATCATCCCTTGAGATCCTAGGAAGAGTTCCTCAGTTTTATTTTCCACAGGAGTTTCAGAGACTGGTTTTGAGCCAATATCATCACCTAACATAGCTGTGAAAAATGTTCTTGGGCTGGAAGGAGCAGGTATCCAATCTCCAATAATAGCAATATTATCATCAATACCAGTCATGATAATTCTATGACTAGGCTCAATGTCAGTTTGATTTGAAATGCAGATGGTTGAATTTCTGGCAGATCAACAACAAAGACAATACATGATGGCATCAAAGAGAGGCTCCCAATAACAAATAGAATTACAAAACAAGAAATATCTTTACACAGCAAAATTGCAGTTTTCCCCTGAATTAGTTGCGGAGATGTAATTATTAAACAGAAGAGTCAAATTATGTGAAGATTAGAATATTCAGTTCAAAACAGGGCAATTCCCAATTGTTGAGCATACTACAATTGACATTTCCGTTACCAAAACAAAAGAGAAATAAGATTCAAACACTGCGTATTGGGTTTCTTTGTTTTGCCTACAACAGCACAAAGAAGGTGTAGGTAGAAAGTGAAAGCTTTGTATTCACTCCTCAGCTCAAACCAGAAAGAACGCAGAAAAACCGGTTGGATTGGGTAATATCAAGAAAAAGAAAGGTCGATAACATAATCTAGAAAAGATTCTATTTTTGTTCATGTTTTGTAAAAATTTTAAAAAAAAAAAACACAAGAACCCACAATCATATAAAGCATAAAAAAAATACCAACCAATTCCAAATTTAAAGCAGGTATCTTAAAGGAAAAATAATCGAATAAAAACAGTTAATTTAATAGATTTGGAAAATCATGTCCTAAATCAAATAAAAAAAAGAAGAAGAAAAAGATGGTTTTAAATTGAGAAACAAAAAGAAAAGCTGATCTGAGAGAATAGAGAGAACAAAATGATTACCTGATTGTTTAAAGAGTTAAAGGTAATGAAGAAAGACCCAACCATCAACACCCACCAAGAGAAGTCCCCAACCTCTGATCAGATTTTCTTTTTTTTTTTTTTTTTGGTTACAGTATATAATAATAATAATGTGAATTGTGATGGAAAATAGAGTGAATATAAAAAGGAGAAAAAGGAAGAAGAAGATGAAGAAAGGGAGAGGCGACTGCAATGGTGGTGGAAACTGAAATGGGTGGAATCTTTGAAGAATGATAGGAAGGGAAATTTATTTATTTATTGAAGGGCTGAACAAAGAAAAAAAAAAACAGAAAAAGGCTCAACAAGTGAAAAAGTCGACACATTTATCTCTCCGCTCCTCTTATTTGATTGGATTCGCATTTGTTAATGAGTTGCTAATCATTCTTGTTTTTGGAGTGGGGCAGGCAGGGAGGGTTCCTTTGGAACAGAAAATGACTAAATGGGGCCCCCTCGGAACAACAATGGTGATCTGATTGGGGCAGCACAAAGGATATGGTCGTGGGGTGGCAAGTAAATTATGTGCCTAACACCTGTTACTTGTTTCTTCAAAAAAAAAAAAAGACAGCTGTTACCTGTACCTTAACAAAGTAAAGATGTTATAACCGCTTCTTCAGTCTTGGCACCTGGCAGGCAGCCCTTCAGCCTTTGACCTCACCTTCTTGCACCTTGCAGCTTTTTATTCCTTCCTCCCTTACCCTTTCGCCGTACGTATCTGTTTCTTACTTTAATCTAATATTATCGTTGTATTATTCAAAATACCCTTCCGCTACGAGCCATAACTTTCTTTTTATATATTTGAATATTGATGAATAACATAACATATACAGATTGATGAGCAGCGGCCATTTTTTGCCATGTTGGCAAAGTACAACACATATGATGGTAAGCAATTATAATAAATATAGCTCCTTGGAGCAAATTGGACAGTGGATTCACAGGGTATCGGAGCTCCCAAAGATTGAAGATTAATGGCAGTTAGTAAGTGAATTAACAATAGAGACAAATAGAACCAGGCAAGTGCCAGCATGCAGCCTATGGGTTTTCAGAAATCAGAGCGATGGAAAGAATCTTGGTAATATGGAGCACCGTCTAACCTAGGTTAAATTAATGACTGGTTGGATTTGTCAAGAATGTGCCAACTGGATGGATTATGCATGTAATTTTTTATATAAAAATAGTTGTAGTTTATGTGGTTTGTAGATAAAAAAATTAGAATGCTAAAATTTAAATCTTAAATTAACTAATTGAGCTATATATTATTAAAGAAAAATAATGTGCGTATGAAACAATTATTTTACATTAGTATATCTTTTTTATTTAAAGAAATTATCAAATCTATTGATTTAAAAAATTTTTAATTTCATAAATAAATTGTGATACATATTTGTTAGTGTATATTTAAAAAAAAAGTGAAATATGTCTCACCCATCTTAACCAATTAGAGTTAAGAAACTCTACTATATCAAATAATTTCACTTTCATTTAAATCATATCAAATAATTAGATTATTAAAAAAATCATTTATTAAACATAGCTTATTTAAATAAATATTTATTATTTAATTATTATAATATATGATCAATAATTAGTTTTTTTAATAATATAATTATGTGATATAATTTAAATAAAAGAGACGTTTTCTAAATGAAAGAGATATATGATTATTTTTAATATTTTCATATTATCATGATATGATTATTGTACTTAAAATAAAATTTTGATTAACAAGGTTAATAGTGGCATCTAAAAAACAGCATTTGAGTCGTCCCTTATTGTCATGTCACACCTAACAATATTATACTAATAACCAATTACATAAATATTTTAGTACAAGTTGTGCAGTTTTATTTATTTATTTCTTCTCCACCCAAATGTTTCAACCACAAAAAAAAAAAAAAAAAGGTTCCCAAACCAGTCAAAAAGATGATTTGACCGAGTCTTTGTCTCTTGTCCGACTTTCCCCTTGTAAATTGCTGTTTCCAAGGTTTTCTAACAAACCAAACCATGTTTCTGTCAGGATAAAAAGCCTTAAAACGAAACCATGTTTCTGTCAGGATAAAAAAGACTTAAAAAGACTCTCTTGTATCACTGACTCTCCCGTAGGTGACCGTAGTAGTTCTAGTATCACCCATCACATGAAATAATACAAAGATTCCTCATAAATGCTTAGCAAGATTAATGATTGATGCAGCGAAAGAAAAGAAATTGCTGATTCATAATTGGCCCTGAGACTGTGGGAAGATGGTTGTTATTTATGGAATCCAATGAACAAAATAGTCTGCTCCAAGTTTTTTGCCAATTCATTTTACACCCAAGAAATATGGCTTTCATGCACGATAGATACAGAGAAATGAAAGATAATGAATTTTATTATTTTTGTAATACATTCATTTAATTAATAAATTTTAAAATATTATTCAAAATCATCCATTAAATTTAACAAACAAACATTAAAAAATCAAGAGATAATATGATTGATTTATGAGTGATCTTTAAAAGGTGTATTTGATGAATTCATATTTATATTTCAACACTTTCAATTTTTATTTTTTAAATTATATAATTTTTTATATAAATAAAAATATAAACAAACAAAAACCAAATTTACTCACTAATCACTCATTCAAACTTTCAGTTCATTTATGCCCTATTTACATTCCATAACGGACTGGTGGGACACCAAAAGAGCTCGGGAGAGTAAATTGGGAGCAAATGTTGGAGTCTTCAAGCAACATCAGTTTGAGTCAGTACTCAGTGGACGGTTGACTAGTCTGCGTCTGTGAAGCAAGTAAGCTATCCTGTCAAATGTCAAAGGGGACTCTCCTTGGACCGATTTCCATAAAACCTAGGATCAGATGTACTGCTAGAAACTGGGCTGCTTGGTCTCCAGTCCACTCGCTAGGATTTTCAAGGCTAGTGTCTCATTAGCCCAAGCGGTCCGTTCTGTAGAGCCCATGCCCCATATTTCACTAAGACCATGCATTCTCTCTGGACTCCGGTTTGATGCTGCTGCCAAAATATTACTATATTATTATTACTTCTAATACTCAATTATTGTTGTGTATCAAAATGAGTTGGAAAAAAAAAGTGAAAGACAGATTAGTAAATTTTATCCCATGCTTCAGCAGAATCAGCACCAAGCACAAAGAATTTGCTTAATTGGATTCCAAAATTCAAAGCATTAAGCAGTGCTAACATAAAACATTAATGCAGATTAAAATTTCTTTAGTCCCAAAATACTGTTTTAAGAATGAAAAGCTTGTATACAAAGTAGTGCATTGATTATCCGACTTACCCTGTCAGAAGGACTGGGGGAGGACAAAGAAGCTCATCCGACACTTATTTTGAAAATATCTAAGAAAATATAATTTGAAATATAATAAGAAAATGATAAAAAATATGAAAATGATATGGATTATAATTTAAAAATAAATTATAAATGAATTTGATAAAAATATAAAACCTGCTTTATATTTTTTGTATTGATACAAAATATGATAAATAATTTTCATATAAAATATAATATAAATATATAAATTTTTTATATTTTATATGATATAAATACACGAAATATCAAATATAACTGCAAATATAGCAAATAGTTGGCATAGTGGGGCTCAAACAGATCCCAACCCAAGCTGAATTACTTTATGGTTCTGCTGCACCAGGAACATCAGAATTTACCTTGACAACAGAAGCAATCAAGTGGAAGGAATCATGCCAAGTCTAAAATCTACCTGGGCATTTTGGTCATAAACGCATTAATCATCAACTCTTGGAACTTAGTCAAAAAAAAAATGATAAGTGTTTGATGCTGGATGTCAAATAAATCAAACTTTAAATTTGATTTGGCACCAAAAAGGTTATATTCATCAACAGGAATCCAGAAATAAACAGACAAAAGAAGAATCGAAAACGTTGAACACTGCAGAAATGTGTAAAAAATGACCTAAATTGTGAATAAGGATTTTGACTAAATAGCTAAAGCCCACATCCCAGGACATGGAAAAGCATGAATATCAGACATATATATCATGGGGTTTCATGTTGAATACTTTATTGCCTAAAGAAATATATTGCTCCAAAGCCTTATATGTCCAACAACAATAGTACTGCAGATGTTACTTTATTTATTGGTTAACAATGATTAAAGCAGAACATGGATTTGCAAAGAGGATAACTATTTGGAACGAATCCAAATGCCTTTTTAGGCAACTACAGTTATAAATTTAAATTTATCAAAGGCATCACATGTCTGGAACTGTAACAAGGAAATCCTTTAGGCAACAAAAAAAAAAAAAAACAGTTCCAGCAATCTAAATCAGGAATAAACACGAAATTGTGCTTGAAATCATCAGTTGACTTAGCTTCATTTGCTTGCTGAGTAGGCAGAGAAAAGAAAGCCTAATTTTGCTTGATTTTCTGCATCCACTGCTTCTTTTAGATAGAAACAACGTGTAGATTCAATCATATTTCTGAGTCAACAGAAGAATAGTCCATATTCAAAGAAAATCTTAAAGAGATTATCCGGTATAATGCTTGAGTTGTCATGTAATCATGTCAAGTTCATGCTGGAACAAAAAAAAAGAAAAACAACTACTCGGGTTGGAGGGTGCAAAGCATCTGAAGTGGAGTTAATGGACCTATGGTTATAAAACTTATTTGTGAATCAATTCACTGCCAAAGTAATTCTGTAATTGCTCACTAAACTAAATGCAAATGATACAATTGAGATTCCAATTTCCTATTAATGATCCTATTAAACTTTACAAAGAAGATGATTAAATATCAGTTAGCAAAACTGTGGCAGGAAAATCAAGCTAATGGAAAAGAAGCAAAGTTTTGAAGTCTTTGGTGACAAAAAGGATGTTCAAAGGAAAGAAATTCTATTGTACCCAGGTTTTAGCATATGAAGACCCCATTACTTTGTTCCCCCCATGTTTTCTTTGAACTTCTCTGTCTCATTCAGTGCTTTCTACTATTTACACTAGGCAAAAACTTATCAATGAAGCCTATCAACAATATCAGAGATTCAACTTGTAGCTACTGTATCTGCAAACTCAGCCTCACCACATATGCAGGATGGCAGGAACAAGACCTTTCCACTCCAACCAAAGTTGGATGTACTTCCATGGTTCTTTCCCTCATGATTCTTCAATAACGTTTTCTTTGAGAGAGAAACCATCAAGGATATCACTCTCTGAATCAACTTGAAGCTCCTTGAACATTGCCATCACCTGTATCATAGTTGGACGTCGAAAGGGCCTATCATCAAGGCACTCGAAGGCAATCCTCAGATACTGGTGCAACTCCGCCTCACCAGATTTCTCTGACATCAACTCAGGGTCCAATATCTCATCAATTCTCTTCTCTCTGTGAAGCTGCTTCGCCCATCCTACAATGTTATTGTCATCGCCAAACTCAGATGAGTCTATAGGCCTTTTGCCAGAGAGAAGCTCTAGCAGTATGACACCATAACTGTAGACGTCACCTTTTGTTGTACACCGGAAACTCTGATAGTACTCTGGGGGAACATATCCTGGAGTTCCTGCAAGTGTGCTCACACTAAGATGAGTATCAAGGGCATTTACTAATCTCGCCATGCCAAAATCAGAAACTCTAGCCTCAAAATTTTCATCAAGGAGTACATTGCTAGATTTCATGTCCCGGTGGATAATATGAGGAATACAGCTATGATGAAGGAAAGCAAGACCTCTTGCTGAACCTATCGCAATCTTCCTTCTAGCTGCCCAGTCAAGCCTTGATCCTCTTCCTTTGGCCTTGTCATGAAGAACAGACTCCAAACTTCCCCATTTCATGTACTCATACACAAGAAGCCTCTCCTCCCCAACCTTGCAGTAACCCAGCAAAGGAACCAGGTTCCGGTGCTTGATCTTCCCAATGGTTTCCATTTCTGCCATAAACTCTCTGTCTCCCTGCCCTGTGATATGAATTAGCTTCTTGATTGCAACTACACAGCCATCTCTCAGTTGTGCCTTGTAGACCTCACCAAACCCTCCAGACCCTATCAAACTTTCCGCACTGAAACCATTAGTAGCTTCAAGCAGATGGGCAAAGGTTAATTTCCGTAGAGGTTTCTCAAAAGTGGCAATGTTGATGCTCAAAGGCTCAGGGACACTGGAGAGTTTCCAGATACTGCTACCTGAAGTTGGTAGGCTTTCAATGTATTTCTCTCTCTTTTCCTCCTTAAGCTGGTGCTTTTTCACTCGATAAAGAGCTAATGTTAGTCCAAGAATGCATAAAAGAGAGAATGTAATGCCAACTACCATCCCAACTGCCACAGATGACCTTTTATTCTGAGAGTGAAGGTTTGATCGATGACTTCCAGAGGCACAAGGAGGCAAGGGAACCCCGCAAAGTCCAGAATTGTTTTCATATCTGGATGATGGGAAAGTGGTCAGCTGGCCTCCAGCAGGGATGGGACCTGTGAGGTTGTTGTTGGATACGTCAAGGTCACTAAGAAAAGTGAGAGTCCCCAATGAACCTGGCAGATAACCTTGGAGATAATTATGAGAGAGATCCAAGACGCCAATAGCTTTCAAACCTCCAAAACTTTCAGGAATATTTCCCATTAGCTTATTATGTCCCAAATTCAAGACCTGGAGATAGCTCATATTACCGAAATTCTCAGGAATACTACCTGACAAATTATTATAAGAGACATCAAGGTAGATCATGCTTCCATTATTGGAAAAGGTATATACTGTCGTACCAGAGTAAATTCTTGTTGATGAGCAAGAATGAACCATGGGAAAACTTTCAAGCCTTTCTGCCCGTATTCCCTCAAATTCAACTAAACCTCCAGCACCCCTGCAAGCTGTTCCACCCTCATTTCTTACAAATGCAAATTGCTTCCCCGAAACACTTCCAGGCATGACTAGGCCAGCTTGGTTTGCAAGCTCAGGTGGGAGAGCACCACTGATATCATTGCTATTTAAATCAAGCCAAATGAGGCTCTGGCATTTGCCAAGCTCTTGTGGAATCTGTCCAGTCAGAGAATTGTTACCCAATTGCAGGATAGCAAGCTTAAGAAGATTTCCAAAACCAGAAGGAATTTCCCCTGTAAGGCTGTTGCTAGAAAGTGACACCCATACCATATTGGTACACTTGGCGATGGATTTTGGAATGCTTCCAGTGATGAGATTATTGTTGAGAATCAGGGTCTCCAGGTTTCCTCCATTGACACAAATGCTTTCTGGGATCTCACCAGTGAGGTTATTTGCCCACATAACCAGGTCAGAAAGATTTGGCAACTTCCAAATATCTAAGGGAATAGAACCAGTCAAGCTGTTGAAACTAAGATCTAATGTCCTTAAGTTCTTGCAGTTTCCAAGCTCCGAGGGCACACTTCCTGAAAGGTAATTGTTGGCTAAAAGAATCTTTTCCAAAGTTGACGTTGAAGAACAAAATCCTGGAGGGATATTCCCTGTAAAGGCATTAGAACCAAGGTCGAGCACCTGAAGCTGAGTACAATTGGTAAGTGACAAGGGCACATATCCAGAAATATTGTTGAATGGTACATAAAAATATCTCAAGCTCGGGAGAGTGCTCACAACTGCACTGAGGAAATCTCCTGAAAGTAGATTGCTTCCTAGGTTCAGAACTTGCAAATGAGAGCATGATGTAAAAGCCAAAGGCAATCCACCAGTGAGTTTGTTAGATGACAGATCAAGTTCCTCGAGAGTTCCACAAGCCTGTCTCAACTCATGAGGGATTTCACCAGTAAACTGATTATGAGCCAAGGATAGACGCTTCAAATTCTTGAAATTTCCCAACAAGCCCCCTGGTATCTTTTGCTGCAGCCCAATATGAGACAAGTCAAGTGCCTCTAGAAAGTGACAGTTTCTGAGGCTAGCTGGGAACTCAGAGTCAGAGAGGTTGTTCTGAGACAAGCTGAGCAGGGTGAGGTTGCTGCACTGCCCAAAATTTAGGCTGGAGAACTTGCCAGAGAAGTTGTTGTGGGAGAGATCGAGATGCTTGAGGGAAACCAGTGAATCTGGCAAGAAACTTGGTGGTATCGGTCCAGAAAAGAGATTGTATGAGAGATCAAGAACAATTAAATTCTTGCAAGAAAGGGAAGAAAGATCAAGTTTTCCCGTGAGCTTATTATCTGAAAAGTTGAGCAGATTCAAATTCTGGCAGCTAGAGAGGGAGTAGTTCAACAGGGCAAAATCAGAAATCCGATTACGAGAGAGGTCAAGCTGCAGCAAGGAAGGACCAAACCTAAGAATTCCCCCAGGAATTGAATTGCGAGACAGGTTAACGTTAGCTAGACTGTTACACACGGAGAAAAGTGATTGTTCCGGAAGAGGCTTTGAGATGGTATTGGAGGACAAGTCAAGAGTTTCAAGGTTGCATGAGACATTAGTGGAAGCAGAAAGATCAGCAGCAGAAAATGAATTTCCTTGCAAATAGAGATGACGGAGAGCAGATAAGGCTGTTAGGTTAGGGAGGTGTAGGCCACCAACAAGGCCTGCATAACTGAGGTTCAGAGCAGTAACACGGCCATAAGGAGAGCAGAAGACGCCACGCCATGAGCATGGGCTAGAAGAATCATCAGTCCAGTTGGCTAAGGCATCGTGCGGATCAGAGGTAATGGAGAAGCGCTTGAAAGCCATCAACTTGATCACATCATCATTGCTTTGCTTTTGCCCTGAAACCAATTGTCTAGCTTCTGCCCACATGACGAAATGTTGGAATAGAAGCAACAACAAGAAACCGAAGATTCCCTGTTCCTGTGATGTTAAGCATACCATTACCCTCCATAATTTCTTCATTTTCTTTTTTTTTTTTTTGGGAATATTACTTTCCCTTCATGTGCTCTGATTTACATAAAGGAATCATAGAACGCGCCGGGAATCATTTCTGGGCGATTGATCTCTTCTATGCAGACTCCTGTTAACTTCACTTTCAGATCTCTTGACAATCCAATTTCTCCAACATTTCTTAATAGCAGGTAACAGTTAGCTTGGAGAGCTGGAACTGGAGAGAAAAAGAATTAAAAAAAAAAAGTAATAAGCATTAAAAATAACTAGTGTAAATCACCATGAAAGAGATAGTGAACATGGCATGATGAAAGTTCAAAATTGAGCAGTAGTGAGAGAGAGTGATGAAAAGAGGTGACAAGTACCTGGATCCAGGAAGATGGGAGTGGTGATGTAACGAGGACTGTCGAGACAGGTCCAAAATCAGAGTCCGTTAAAGAAACAGACGGAGGATACGATGTTCAGAGATGTCGGCCCCAGAACTCAGAGATGTAGACAGAGAGAGATATCATAAAAGGGAAAGGAAACACCGGTCTTGGAGCAAAGGAAAACAACTAAAAAAGAACCATTTGCAGTAAATTTCAGAAGCTGGGACGGCTGTCAGCATTCAGCAGTTGGTATTCTTGAACTAACTTTGCTGAAACTAAGAACAGTAAGGGAGAAATTTGGCATAATCTATGAACACCAAGTCAAGTAAAGTGGCATTCGAAAAGTAGTAAAGCCACAGAAAAAAAAAAAGAAAAGAATAGAGAATAAAGATAAAACAGAAGAAGAGTGATTTGTGGGAGTGAATGAGTGACGATGCCTCGCCATTTGGGCATTTTTTTTTTTTAGTCCAGTCAAACTTTTGATTTGTTTTTTGTTCTCCCAAATTCTACCTTTTATGGGGCCCACTTCCATGAATTGCCCCGCACGTATGTCTCTCTTTGTCACCTTCTTTATTTTCTTCTCGGATTTATCTATTTAATTTTTTGTTCTTCACTGTGCTCCTCTATGTATTCCAAAAATCAAAACTCTTTGCTTCAATACAAAACTGTAAGTCTGTAACTCTTCAACCCTTTTGCTTCAATACAAAACTGTAAGTCTGTAACTCTTCAACCCAACATGGTCGTTTAAGTTAATGGTATTTACTAGTGTAACATGAGCAAATGAATTGTGTTCTTGCCGGTACTTCAATATTCTTACATCATTGATATTGAAAAAATTATTATATACATCAAAAGGGAAAACAAAATAGAAGGAATAATATAGCAAACGATAAGAGAATCATGGATGCATGGATGGAATTGGGATGTAAATATGCGATGGGAAGAGAATATCTTTGTTGAAAACGGTGGCGAATTTATTTTTTTTTTTAAGTGTTCATTAGTGTTCATTCATATAACTTATAAAAAAATTGTAAAAATTTTTAAATAATATATTTAAATATATTATTATAATTATTCCCAACGAATTTTCATATATTAAAAAAGTTGTAGTTGCATCATTATTAATATTATCAAATACATCTTTTTCAATATATGTAAATAAAAAATAATTATATAAAAAATAAAAAATTGTGGGATGTCCAAGAAAAAAATTTAGGATATCCAAAAGAAAATGGACCTTTAATTTTTTTTTATTTTTTAATTTAAGAAGTGTCCGTGAACACCCCATCATGTAATTAGAAATATTTATAATTCTATTAAAATTAAATTAATCGATTGAACTTAATTAATTTAATTAATCAATTAATTATTAAATTAATTCGATCGATTATCGACAAATAATTTTTAAAATTTTTTGTTTTTTATTTATTCAATTATCAAATTAAATTAATCAAAATATACAAAATCTTATATAAAATTAAAAAATACATAAAATTGATCATTTTATTTTATAAGTTATTAACATATTTAATTTAATATTTTGATATTTAAATACTTTATTTAATTTATTTTAAATATGAAAAATTAAAAATAATTTACTTTAAAATATTTTATTATTGTATTAATAAAAAATAATCGAATAAATTAAAATTGATAATTAATTTTCAAAATTAATGAATTTGAATGGATAATAAAAATAAAAATAAATTAATTCAATTAATTTAAAATTAAGATTAAAGAAATGGGAGAAAATTTTATAGAAAGACGGTGTAAGTTGTAAGGAGCGGGGCGCGGGGCGCGGGACCTAGGGTTTTGGATCTGTTTGGTTATCTGTCAAATTTAAATTTAAAAGAAAAAAATTGAATGAGTGCTGGTGCATTTTTTGTCAGTTACCACTCTGTTCTCCAGAGTCCACGAGTACTCTTTTTTCTTTTCGTGTTTTTTAATTAATGGAAAACAAGGGGGAGTCTTTTTCTAGGTTTAGTTTATTATTATATGTCATGATCATCAAAGACTATTGCATATGGTTTCCCCCGTTTTTTTTTAAAAAAAAAAGGTTTTTAATGTAGATATAGCACTAGCAAGTTGATCAGCATGTGATTAATATAAAGGTTAATCAGCAATTTTTCAGTAGAAAACAGCGGAATCCTCGCAAAGAAACCGGGCAAGTGTCTCGAATCTGGACCCTCCCTGCCTCCCTCGCTTTTCCATTTTGAATTTGTTTTATTTTTTCAAGTTTAGGGTGAAGATAATCCAATTAAATTAGAATAAAATTTAAATTTAAGTTAATTATTATTGAATTAAGTTTAATTAAAATAATTTGATTTATCAAGTGAGTTTAATTCAAATATCTTAATACTTGATTCTTAAAAAATTATTATTTTATTTAAATTTAAATTCAAATTTGAATATAAATAATTAAATTTAAAATTAAAAAAAATCAAAATCAATTTTTTTATTCAATAAATAAGTTTAATTGAACAGATTTAATAATTTAATTTTTATTTCATATTTAAATTTTTTATTATATCAACTTAATTCGATTTAATTATATTCTTAAATGATACGATATTTACTCAATCCGAAATCAAAACAGACTACAAATATTAAAAAAATATTTATATTAAATTTATAAATCGATTATAAAAAAATTACTAACATTGAGAATTAAATTTAAATTTTATAATAAGATATTCAAATTTTATAAACTCAACTAATTTACTAAGAATTTGTTGTTTAGATGAGAAAACGTTTTTGAATAAAGAGTAAGGGCGGTCTACCCCACCACTGCACCACGAGAGTTGAATTTGAACAAGATTTGGCTCAAAAAGCTGTATAATTGTGGCACACGAGAGAGCGTCCAGCGTCCCCCAACCTGGCAGGGGATGATTCGAATTTCAATTTCCTTCCTTACCTATGATATGGAATAATGAAAATTGAGAAGTGTAGCAAAAGGCAAGATGAGTAGATGACAAACAAAGCGAGTTAGATCTTTTTTTATATCTATCAATTACCAAATTATGAATCATCAATCTATCATAATGGTGTCCTCATGTATTTATATAATATACACCAAATATGTGGACCAGACCGAAATATTTGACTTTGGCCTAACAAATTTTGCGTTTTCTTGACTCTTTTAAAACTTGTGATGGTAATGGGTAGTTGGAATTGTTTAGCTTAAAATAGAAGTTTAACTTTCTTCCACACGTTCGTCTACATTTCCACGGCACTCCATTTCCTCAAAATCTGGTTCTATAAAGTATGTTTGAAGGACTACTAGAATTATTTTCTTTTTCATAGGAAAATAATATATATTTATTAAGGCTTAACAAATCAAGATTAGTACAAACAAAAATGCTACAAATAATAGACTTTTCGAAGAAGCCAAACCATACCAAGGGTATTGAATAAGGTGAAAAACAAGAAGTAGCTATGTAGTATGAGTATTTGAAGCTTATGCACTATTTTTGTATTTACATCATGACACTTTAATTTTAAATTGAGATAATATAAAGTTTTATTATGATATATATATAAATTTATGATCAAAATAAATAATATTTTATAAGTTGAGTGTAAATTTAAAAAAAAAAACATATAGCAACATCAAATTGATATAGGCATTGAAAATCCAACTTATTCTTAACCATTGGCTTAAAAAAAACAACTTATTTTTAAGCTTTGAAAAAGGAATGTAATTGCAAATTCTAACCTCGTTATCTCTTTCTTCTTTTATTATAATGCCCTAATCTCATGTTATGATAATATAAAATTTTGTTATAATATGTATAGAGATCTAAATCTAAATATGTGAAGTACTTTTTATAAGATAAAATCGTAAAACTTTTAAGTCAAAATAAATAATATCTTGCAGGTTCATACGGATATCTACAAATAGTATCAAAGCAGTCACCAGTTAAATAGGAGCTAAATGTTACATCATGAGAGCCATATCTCGAATCTTGTAAGTCTTCACAAATGGTATCAAAACAGTCAACAGTTAGACGGGAGCTAAATGTTACATTGTGAAAGTCACCTTTAGAATATTGTAAGAACTAAATGCTATACGGTGAGAACCACCTCTAAAATCTCAACATCTGATGTGATTTTGTAATTTGTATATACTTTATGTTGAATTTGCACAGCGTTTGGTGTGATTTAGTGAATCTGTGTATTTTATGTTAGGTTTAATGGGGATGTTAAGTTTAAATGGGAGAAGTTTATAATGCCTAAATCTCACATTGGGATACTCTGAAATTCTCATGATTTTATCTTATAAAAGATGCCTCACAGATTGAATTTTAAATCTCTACGTATATATCATAACAAAATTTCAAATTATTCTGATGTGGGATTGAGACGTTATATATATACTATTAATGCATCATAAATCATCACCTATAACAACAATAACAAAAATTAAGCTTTATATTTCATAACTCAAAGATTAGCTGTATGAAAGGTCAAAAACAAAAGTCATGTTAGGTCATGGTTTTGAATTTTCTTACATCACTCATTTTTATCAATAATAATTTTTTCATTTATTTTCTTAACCATTATATCATTTTTTGTTACTTGTATCCACGTTTTTCATGTTATATCTCTAGAAGTTTTGGTCGCTCTTAAATTTAAAAACTCATTTCCCCTAACTAGTGCACAGATAGGCCTTTACTTTTCACATATCCAAACCAACCCTCTTTCATCTTTTCCTCAATTCGAACTACTTTAATTTTTTTTAATCTTTTCATTTTTAATTTTGTCCCTTCTATTCTTAACACACATCCATGTAAGCATACTTATCTCGATTGCAATTATTTTCTTCTTATATTATTTCTTAATAGTCCAACAATTAGTTCCACATAACGATGCAAGCTTTACAATTGTTTTATTCAAATTCGCATTTAACTTTAAAGACATGTTGTGATCACACAACGCACTTGACACATTTCGTCACCTTATCCATTGTACTTGAATACTATGACTTACATTTTTTTTATTTCAGCATCACTTTGAATAATTGATCTAAAATATTAAAATGACTACTATTTGGTATTACTTCATCATCTAACTTAACCACTAACATTCACTTCTCTATGATTATTAAATTTATATTCTATATATTTAATTTTAGATTTACTCAATTTAAAATCTCGAGACTACAATGTATGACTAATTTTTTATTAAAAGTATCACTAGTTTCAATGATTATAACTATATTATCGACTAATAACATGCACCATAAAACCTTATCTTAGAAAATTCCAATGAACTCATCTATAACTAATGCAAAAGGAAATGGACTTACTACTAAGTCTTGATGCAATTTTGATGTAATGAAAAAACTATCATTCATCCCTCAAATCATCTTCACATTCGTTAAAGATCTTTCATAC